CATTTTTGAGAAGTGAATTAGAATTGAAGGCAAACAATATAAATCAGGACATCCATGGGTTAATGTGATCTGTGATAAACAGAGTTTGACTCTGTGTACAGGAAAACAGCACTCGAGATGATCTGTTACAGCGTGACACCACTTGCTGTTAGCCATATGTAATTTCATGTCCCCACTATTTCAGCAGTAAAACACACCCACACAGGAGAGAATAGAACAGAGCTGGACAAAAGTGGGAACAGAGCCTATCATTTATCACACTTTAGTGCTAGCTTTAAATACCTCTGTTTAATTACTGTATCATGATGAGATAATTATCAACTGTTCAGGGGCTAACAGGCCTACACACTACCTAACTCTCCGTCTGTTACTGTGGTAAGCTGGTTGTCTGTAAAATGATGGTAAAATAGTCATCACAGAAGTCTTCATGTCAGTCAAAGATTCTGTTTCTGAACTAACTTTTTTGACACCTGTTTCTCTGTGCTAATGCTCCCTGCAGACCTTAAAAGACCACAGTACCACAAGACATGTGTCAGACATCACTAACAGTGTGCTAAAGATAGTCACAAAGTAATACTCGACTTCATGCTTGTGGTCCTTTATGCAGGTTGACACATAAAGCAGACAACGGATGAAGATGAAGTAGAAGACAGCTAGCAAGCTAGTAAAAGCAGCCCTCTGAGAAAAGTCAATGCTTTGAGCAGTGTACTTCAAAATGGTATACTTTAAAATAAAAGCATAGTTTGACAATGCAGGAAAAAAGCAACCTAAATGCAAGAGAAAAAAATGTCTTCTCCAGTCTTCTCCAATGCAATTTTGGTCAAAGGGCTGAGGATGAATCATAAATACTGATAGGATTAAAAACACAGCATTGAGCTTACACTATTTCAGACCTCACTATGTTTTTTAAGAGGACAGGTTGATTGTGAAAATTGTGATTTTAATGGCAGGGCTGCCGCAGGAAATAACAGTGGAAGAGTTTTTTTCTTCAGGTGGGTTGATTAGAGCACAATAACCCTCATCAGGGTGCTGAAACGCTCAGCTGCTGGTTCTTTTATTCATGCTTTAGAAGACATTCTTGCTTCTGTTTTGAATTGCTAATGTGCACCAAAAGCCAAATCATTTGCTCTGACACTTTTACAATAATATTTCATAGCATCATGCACATATTGAAATAGAATTGATATGCTCAAAGTAGCTTGAATAAATAAACTGGCTAGCCTGTAGATTTTGAATTCTGGAAGTTTCACTGCCAGGTTCAAGAACACTATCTCAGCCTTAGAGTGTGCTTCCATCTAGTGGATATGTCCGCCATTGCAAACAGTGGTCCTCCTATAAAAAAAGCAGATACTTTAAATGAGAGTTAGACAATCTTACTTGGTTTAATTCAACAATATTTTTATTAGTTTTATACAGATATACACAGGAGACACATTACTAACACCCCCTTTCCCTCAAAACTCCGTCTACAACTGGATATTTCTATTACTTTGTTTAAATAACAAATTGTGGAGCTATAACAAAAAATAGAAAAATAAATGAATAAATAAGTACATTAATAAAAAAAAATAAAAAATAAAAATACAAGTAAGTGCTGGAAATCGGGTTGTATAGATCTTGAAATACATAAGATATTGAGAAATAAAAGGTAAAAAGAGAACAAGTTAAATTAACTACTGTGTGTTAAGGGAAATACAAATGTAGACAAGTCGCTGAAAACGGAAAAAGTCCATAAAAGAGATAAGAATTTGAGTTGTATGATTATAAAACATCACAGAAATATATTTAAAAAAGAAAACAACTAGAAGAGGAGAGTGCTAATTCAAAATGACGAAAGTTTCTGAATGTGATCTAGGAAAGGTCCCCAGATCTTTTCGGAATTTCTTGTCATTGCCTGCAACCAAGTATCAAATCTTCTCAAGGTCTAAGCAAGACACAAGGTCTGTCAGCCACTGACTGTGAGTGGGCGGGGCAGCATCCCTCCATCTGAGGAGAACCGCACGTTGAGCTAGGAGGGAGGCAAATGCTAGGGTTCAGCTCTTAATGGAAGAAAGATTTGCATCCTCTCCCATCGTACCAAAAACAGCCACCAGAGGATCAGGTTCTAAGGTTATGTTAAGGATTTGTGATAAAGTTTGAAAACCATCTCTCTAAAATTTCTCAAGGCTGGGACATGTCCAAAACATGTGGATAAGAGAGCCTTCACCTAATCTGCATTTGTCACAGAGGGGATCCACCTCAGGATAGAAACGAGATAGTTTGGATATGGATAAGTGAGCTCTGTGAACAACCTTAAACTGCAGGAGGCAGTGGCGGGCACAAAACGATGTTGAATTGATATACCTATGGATCTTTTCCCACAGATTGTCTGACAAAGTAAGGTTCAGGTCTTGTTCCCAGGCAGCCCTTATTTTGTCTAGGGGATCGTGTCTTATATCTATCAACTTATTGTATATCATGAAGATGAGCCTTTTACGTGTTGGATACAACTGAAGCACATCATCGACAATGCTCGTTTCAGATGCTGCAGGAAAGTTTTGTACCTGAGAACGGATTAAGTGTCTAGCTTGCAAGTACCCGAAGAAGTGAGTTTTGACAAGTTAAATTTTTTGCACAGCTGTTCGAAAGATGTAAAATAGTTCCCAATGAATAAATCTGTAAAATGTCTAATACCTTGTCTGTGCTATTCCTGAAAGGCGGAGTCAAGAGAGGAAGGCGGAAACACATACATAAAATACAGCAATGAATAATGTCAATTGAAAATGTGGGCAGCGGTTCGAATGTTGCAGTCACTTTTCATTGTTTCCTTTAAACATATGGCTTCTTAGTTTTTGTTGCTTTTAACGCTGCAGTTCCTTTTTTTTTTTGCTGGTCATGTTTTAACGGATGCAGGAATTTAGAAAGTAATCATAGACTGTATATACGATGGACAACTTGGTTTCGCCTTCTGCCAGTATACAGATTTGAAGCCGAAAAGCTCTCAGTAATTCCACATTTTTTCTCCACTTCCTGAAAGAAACATTGCACAGCAGCGTTGTACGCCCTCCACCACTTGCGCAGTAGCATTGTACGCATTTGGCGGGAGAATCGCAGAGAGTCGCTGTGATGATGCACAGCACAAATAGCGTATCTCTCGGGTGAGCTATGCAACCTTCGTACGCCCTTAGTCAAGTGTCAATCATAAAAAAATTGAGCCCCTTAATAACTTTTAAAAATTGAGCTGCACATAAAAAAGAGGACTTGAGCACAAACCAGTCTAACAGTAACTACATGTCAACATCGCAAGCAGGCAGGGGGAGAAAAATTTATATTCTTTGTAATAAATTTCTTAAGTTTGTCAACAGCCTCATAAGGATGGCTGGCAGAGGCGAGATTTATGACCTACACTACAGCCTGTCACCAGAGGGTGCTGTTTCTCTGGGTGGCTTCACCCAGTGAAGAGGCAGATGCGTCCATTTTATATACAGCCTATGACAGTAATACAAGGAATCAAAGAGATCCAGCTGAGCAAAACTGGGAAGTTTTTGTTTCAGTGAATAATGAATAATGGTATAAAGTGTGTCCATTTATTGTCTTGATATCAGAGCAGTATTGTTCAACATGTTTTCACTGATGCTGCATGCCTAATGTATAAGAGAGAAGCTAGATTTGTATGCAAGAAAAACCTGGATATGGTGATATGAAATGGTTTAACCAAAAGAAAAACAAGCGTATAGGTCATCACAGGTCACCTCACAGCACAAAAACATTGCAACACATTGTAAAAAATGCTCCCTCTGCTGTGCACCAAAGCCAAGTTATTAAAATTTCTTCAATCATTAGTTCTAGATTAGATACACAAGTCTACAGTAAAATTATATAACTATTTATAGGGATTTTGACACAAATGCTATTTTTATGAAGCCTCAAGTCAAAAATTAAAAATAATGGTGACTCTCTTCGCTGCTTTAGCAAACCCAACACTTTCTCCGTGTGAAATAAAAATTGTTTAGAATTAAAGTCGTATTGTTGAAATTCTAATCGGTGGTTTTGTTTTTATTGCGAACTGAGTCACAGAAACCCATAAAACGGAGAGGTGACCAGATGCAGCGCAAGATGGCGGACCCAAAGATAGAAAACCACATTTACAAAACGCAATAAGTTTCCGCATTACCTCCGATTGGCGGACCCAAAACAATTACTTCCGGTGGAAAGGCTTTCTCGTTGGCGGACTTCCGGCGCCGAAATACTTCAGGTAGTCGGATTTAGTCACCGGATCCTTTTTTTTTTGCTCCGTTCATTCCATAAGAATCGAATTAAATTTATTATTGAGCTAAAAATCAAAATAAAACGTTTATGTATTAATTATGACTACTGTTTTGTTCTGATTTAATTCTGAAGTTTACAGTAATATGTATATATAGCCTGATGTCCTCATATTCTGATAATTTGTCAGAATAGGTAAATGTATGTAGAAGTTATCATCTTACTCAAATTCTTTTGTAAGAGTTTGCTACAAGTATGGACTGTTTTAACCTCTCGTTACACATCATATAACAGTGTTTTCTAACTTTTCTCTCCAATAGCTCTATTACACAGCACATCAATGTTTCTTAACTTCTCTGTGACCTTGTTTCTCCACTCCTATTAGGACCTCGTTTAATGTCAACAATGTTGCCCTGACCCTCACATATTTTCTGTTGTTCATAATTATGTTTTATGAGAGTGCTTATGTTGCTGCACAAATTTACTCCCCACATCCTTTAGTAACATTGTGTAACCAGGGACATAATTTATGAAATGGTGTGCTTCCTGGTGAACCTCTTCAGGATTGCTTGACTGTGCAAAATCCAAGTATACAATAGTTGTAGAGACACAAGTCACATGATCTCTTTAAGGTTCAGAAGAGCCATATAGCAAAAACAATTGAATAGCGATATCATTACAGACTGTGTAAAGAAATGGGAAATTGTCATACAACTGCTTTGAAGATTTCTTTAATTTTTTCCAAACAAAATTGTGAACAGTAAAAAAATATATATATATACAAAATTCAGCACTGCCGTCGGTGTGGTGGGGGGCTTAAAACACGTTGCCACAGGCCATCATCAGCTCTGCTCTGAACCGGTTGATGCCATGCTCCTTCAGTGCTTTGATCAAAAGCTGAAAAACAGTCAAATAATGTGAACAATTGAAGTTATGCAGTATGGGTTAATTGTTGTTCTTGAGCTTTCCAAATGAATAAGAACAACCTCTTAACAATATCATCAATTTTCAAAGCAAGCTATATAGTTTGATCTACTCACCTCTGGGAGCATGACGTCAAAAACGAAATCAAGCAGATGAATCTCGCCTCTCTTTATTTTTTTAGAAATGTTTGTTGCCACCTCAATGAACCGCAGGAGCTCGAACATCTATTGAAGAAAAACACAGAAAGTAAACACCTTTCAAATGTAACACCCCTGAGAGTAAAAATACTCATGATGGATGGAATTTTTACTTGCGCGCTGCTCACTCCAACTTAATGTCCTTATCTTAAGATGCTGCTTTAGTCGGAGTGAGGTGGCGGGATTCCTCCAAAGGAACATTCTGTTGGAGCGGATCTTTCCAGACAGTAGATCATCGTGTAATGTCTGAAACCAAAGAGCAAGAGACAAAAATGTAATCATCTGAAAAAGAAACGGTGGCTTTAACAACTGATAGTGCATTCAAAAGCAACCTTGATCTGTGTCTTAGAAAAGACAGCATGAATTCCTCAACTGTCAACAGCATCCTTGATCCTGCAGAGAAATAAGAAAAAGAGCAAGCCCTCATTTTTTCATCCTTTGAGCCTCGTATTTTTGACTGATACTATGTTTCCTTGATAAATTATGTTATACCGAGGATGCTCAATGGAGTCCTCGCACCCGCAGTCAAACGGCTCCATTTCAATCCCAGCACAATCCTGATGCAGCCAGCCCCTGCACGTCTTGCACTGGACCCATTTTATGACGTTTACCTCAGGGTAAAGCAATCTGATCAAATGAGAGACAAACATAATATTAAACAAACACGCTGTCCAATTGATTATACCTCTGCAGCACATTTGAATGTATAAATAATTTTCCTGCATGATTCGTGCATTTAAACTATATGTAAAAGTGGTCACTTCATGGAAAATCACTGAATAGGCCCCGATAATTGCATTTATTAAATTGAGTCTGCAACACACCTCTCTCCTGTGTTGTTCGATGTCTGGTAAACACAGAATTGCATTGAATCTGCCATGCACATTCTTTGGACATCCGATACCGTCTGCGTCATGGTTTCCTTGACAAGGCAATTTGAAAAGTAACATCAATTACCAAATACATCGAGACAATGTTGATCCATACAACTGTGTGCATTTTGAAGGACTCCCACTGAGATAATACTGTTTTTACAAGGCAATTTTCTAACCTCTATGTCCTGCTGCTCTGCCTTCCTCTTTAGACTGAAGACTGGAGTATGCTTTCCAGCAATGAGCTCTTGACATCCTTTGGTCCAGTGGGCGAAGATTTTCCCACAACTGTAATGACAATATGTCTTTAAGTACAATATATTGATTGTCTTCCAGTTAATTAGGACATCTAGTTTACTTAAACTGTCTACCTGTTCAAAGAATTGTTCTCCAGGAGCAACAGGCACCACCATCGCCGCCAAACAGGCATGTCATGCTGAAATTGTTGTTTGTATTTCATTTTAGTGCACAATACAAAATACAATCTTGAGGATGACACTGCGTGTTGAAAAGTACTTACAACTGAGTAGTCAAACTGTGACTCCATAACGATGTACATGGCAGACTTAAAAAAAAAAATTATGAGACATCATGTGAGATAACTTTAAAAAAGTCCATGTTGGAAAGTTATTCTAGATACAATATTTGTGCATTACAGCTCGTTATGACCTACCATCAACATGAATATGCCACAGTCTGAGCCGAAGTCCTGGCTGGGGAAGCCCTGATTTAACAAAAGCAAACGTTAATCATCTTGTCACATACACTTTGTAGGAGCCAGATTGGGGTTTTGCAGTTTATTGTTGTGTATTTTTTGTGCCAGCAGATGGTGCTATTGTGCCTGTCTATTTAATGGGTGGGTTGATTAGGAGAGGTGCGCACATAAAATGATGAATGAGTAAATAAATCAAAACAACAGAAAATGTGTGTGACATGTGACATTATTCCACCTGCGGGCACGCATCAACTCAAGCAAAAAGGTGTTCGCCACAAGTAACAGCATTGGAAAGCTGTTATACACTTTTCAACTGTAATATAGAGCATGCACAAATACCTCCAAATCTCTGCCCGTTTTCTCAGTCCATTGCCCAGGACATATCTTCTGCGCAATGTTCCTGTTAATTTGAGAGCGTCACTTAGATTTCCCATGATGGAAACAATGGAATGCAGGGTTAGGGTTAGTTTGAGTGGTCGGAGGTGAGATTGAATGAATGCGGACGGCTTGCTTCTTTTCAAACTTCCTGAGAGTTCTTCTTCTTCTGTAAATTTTGCCGTCAGAAAGTGTAGGTACATACCGCCACCTACTGTTCTGGCATCGCAAAGCAGAAGTTCAAAGTTCATGTTTTGGGTCCGCCAATCGGAGGTAATGCGGAAACTTATTGCGTTTTGTAAATGTGGTTTTTTATCTTTGGGTCCGCCATCTTGGCGCTGCATCTGGGTACTCTTGGATTTTGACACAAATGCTATTTTTATGAAGCCTCAAGTCAAAAATTAAAAATAATGGTGACTCTCTTAGCTGCTTTAGCAAACCCAACACTTTCTCCGTGTGAAATAAAAATTGTTTAGAATTAAAGTCGTATTGTTGAAATTCTAATCGGTGGTTTTGTTTTTATTGCGAACTGAGTCACAGAAACCGATAAAACGTTGCTCAACTTTGTCATCGGACCACAATACCCAGAATGCACTACCGGATATGTTTGTTGATGCGATTGGCCGACGTTACCCCGCCCCCCTGAACCTCCTCTCATTAGCATTGGGGCTATCTGACATGTCTGACTGCAGGGAGCACTGAGACTTCTGTAAACAGCACCAGAGGAGACCGGTGCTGACAGACTTTAAACCATGGCGACTCGCTTTATCGTATCCTGCCGCTTATTTTACCGACTCAACAGTCTAACTGTATGCAAACCTGCTCAGAGGTGCAATGTGAACATCCAACGTTTGTACTCCAGTGCTACGCAAAAGGAAAACGAACTTCAACTCGGAGACTCGACTTTATCAGCTCCTAACTTTCCTGCCTCTGTAAAAAGCAGCTCCAGACAGGTAATACGAACCAACACATACTGCTGCACAAGTATCTCTCCAGGCTGAGGTTGCTGTGTATATCACATGCTAATTTGTTGTGTTTACAGCTGCCCGTACTTATGCCATGGTGGTGACAAAGTGTGCCGGTTTATGAGAATTTCGGCTGTTTTCTGCGATCTGATCATTTGGTTCAGTTCATCTAAAAGAGTGTGATTTCTCAGCTTTAAATGCTTTTTAATAAGATTTAGGAAAAACCCCTGATCACCAAGATACTTAGACTAGTCAGATCTGGACTACCAGAGAGGTAACAGACCTTTTCAAACACAACATTAGATTTCTGTAACCTTAGTTATATTTGTGGAAATCCATAAAAGTAAGTTTTCACAAATCATTTGACCAGGTCCTGATCCACATCTACTACCAACTGCTACTACAAAGAACTACCAATAAAGAGTAAATCTGTTTTTTGCATTATGCGTATTTCTATGATTCTAGTTGTCTTACACTAATGTCACACTGTGAGAAAAGTGGTCTTACATTTTTACATACCCCTCTGGCAGCTCACAATCTTTCTATAGGTACCAAATGATGTTAACAAAAATGAATTTTCTCTGTTTTAAATATATGTGCAAACATGCAAATTTAGATTTTATTAGCTGTGCAACATCTAGAAGTCTTCTGATAAATAGTTTTTTATATAATCAGCAATCTTCTGTATTGTTGCTTTTCTTTCAACTCACAAACTTAGTGAAGGATCCGAGAGGCCAGATAAGAAAACCTGAATCCTGAAAAGCTGATCAAGGCCAAACTGTATGAACTAGAGAGTTACTGGCATAGATGTAGTCTTGTTTTTCTTGTTAAGTACAAAGCAAATTATGGCTCTAAACCCTACTTGAGGGTATTGCAAGGGTTAATGGGACTTCAAGCTTTTGTTGAAAAAAGTTTGGACACTTCTGAATCATGTTCAACAATCAAACGCATGTTCTGACTTTAACTTTACGACTTTTTGAATTGGCAGGCAAGTACTGGCCAGAATAACACAGTGAGTTTGGGCTGACACACTTCTGTGGTAGTAGATTGCATTTAGGTAAAGACTTGTTGAAAACAGGCCAAAAGACTGGGACTCACAAAAATGTGGCAAAACAGTGTCCTCATATCACATGCAGTGTGCAACCACCCATCCGGTCTCATGCTCACCTTTGTGCAGCATCTGACTGTACAGCAGCTCTCTGTTGACAGTCAAAGGTCAGGATCTGTTCACTGAAGCACGTGCTGCTTCGTGCCTCAGTGTGACTGACTCACTGAAACATACTGATTAGTAGACAGATTTCATTTTTCTCATTTTTTCAAGAACTAGACTCTACAGTGTCTTGTTAATCTTTCTGGGCTGTCTCTCCTTCATATTTAATCTAATATAAATATTTTCAATCTTTTATCTGTTTAATTTGAACGTCTCTTTGGTACCATCATAATCATCAGTTTTTGTGTTTAGATGAGCTGCTGGGTGTCATTGTCTTGTCACCTTTCCTCCCACAGAGACTAAAAGATGACAGTGTCCTCCCTTTTTCGGCATTCTTGACGGACAGCTTTGGTCGCAGGCACAGCTACCTGCGAATTTCCCTGACTGAGAAATGCAACCTGCGCTGTGAGTGGATCTGTCCACTGTGCCATATTAGGGATTAAAGTTCTTATGATCTTAAGTTTTGATAACTTTTGTTTAGTTTTTGCTGGAGAGTGGAGGAGGCTTTTTCATATTATTTATGGGACAGAAATAACTGTCTTTAAAAAAAAGGACAGATTAAAGGAAGCTTTTCGACAATGTGTACGGTGCTAGTAGAGATTCTAATATTAGTTAATGCCAACTGTTTACATGCCTGGTTTAATATTTCTGCAACATTTAAGCATTACCTCTGAGTCTGGTTGCAAAATTATTCCTTTAATGCTGAAGGTTTAAAAACCCACAATACCCCTGCTCACAGAATGACTTGTTTCTGTAAGGACTCTGTTAAATTGCAGATGATGCGTTATAGTGTGTTTTTAGCATTTATATTACTCTCCATTCTTCAGGTCAGTACTGTATGCCTGAGGAGGGGGTGAAGCTGACACCTCGGGGCCAGCTGCTGTCTACTTCAGAGGTACTGACCCTTGCCCGCCTCTTCGTTCAAGAAGGCGTGGAGAAAATCCGCCTCACTGGAGGAGAGCCGCTTATCAGACCTGATGTGGTGGATATCATCGGTAAGAGGCAAATGCAGACATGAAGTTTTCAGGGAGTTTGATAAGATGCCTGAAGGTAACGTCCCAGAGGGTTTTGACTTCTTTAAATCATGGATTTGACATCCATGGACACAAACAATGAATTCACCCCTGTGGTTTACAGATCCTTTTACACAGATAAGGGGCTTTGCACATGGGTTTGCAAACTGTTCCCACAGATTTACATAGAGATTGTTTTGTGTATAGGGCATCCAGGAGGATTTGCATTAAATTAAACACAGTTTCAATTCTACATGTCAGTCTCAGGAGCTTTAAATAAAAAAGCCTCTTACAAATAATACTGAGTTTTATCAAATCTTAAAACCTGTCAAGAAAAAAAAGTTTGTCAGTTTAGTCCATGCAAAAGTTTTAACTGGCACAAATATATGCACAAAAATCTACAATCATTACAACTCCCTATACATGTAAATGACAAAGATGTTTAAGAATCTATATTTTTAAAGCAAAAATCTAGGACATAGAGAGCTGTCCCAATTATTTGCCACTCTTAAAAGCAAGGAATGGTAAGAATATACCTTGAGGTGGATACACAGGATCAGTGTTTGATATCAAGGGCTGTCACATGACATTTTTTTCTCTCTCCTGATTGGACTCAAGCTTTTTTTGACAGTCATGACAAGACATCATGAGAGAGGAGATGAGCTAATTTTTCATACATGATTTTCCATGCACGACCTCAAATTGAGAAGTTATCTCTTGGTTGAATTGATTGTTACACCACATCTGTGTGCTCAGTTTCACAGTGCACTGTCATAGATTTCTACTTCACAGCCCAAATCGTTGAATATGATGCAGCTAAAGACCAATGTAACCAATAAATGTAGCTAAGTGGTGCGACCAATGGGTAATATCTTTGTAGTAGATGGACCTTAGTCTGCCAACAGCTCCATAAAGATGAGTAGTTTGTGTCATGTGACCACCTGATCAGAGGGTACTGGAAGGAAGAGTTTACATCAGGTGGAAACAGAAACCTCAGTTATGATCCGATACTGATTTTTGAAAGCAGATTTGGGTGAGCAGAATGAGAGCTCAAAGAATGTGGGGATCTGTCTCTTAAGCCAAATGATTTGAGCAGTATAATGAAGTTTTCATAGTTTAGCTGTAGTTTCTTAAAATGTACTTCATCTAAGTTTACATTTTAATAAGGTAAGAAAAATACATAAACAAATGTAAAAATACATTCAAAGATAGACGAAGTGCAGAGATTATAAATTGACAGTCCGGCATCGAAACTTGGAATCACAATTTAAACATTTGAATGGTTCTGGGAGAGTTGGTTTGTTAGTCCCTGTTCCCATTGTTGCTCAAGACTCAATGCCCAACCCTAAACAGCAGTGAGCAAGGGGCTTAAGCCAACCCCAATCAGCCAAACAATCAGCAGAGTCCTGACCCAACTCAAATCTGACCCAAACACATGCACTGAAATACACTACATACAGTAGCTACGTAAGTATCACCATAAGAGTAAGAATGTTTCAGACTCAGTCAAAAACTCCATACTGTGCCTTTGAGTGCAGCAGCAGTTTTATTTATTTTTTTATTTTTTTTTATTTTTTACATCCACAAATTTTATATGTTTTGTTGCTTCCCAAGTATATCAGTCTGATCGAAGCAGATGCTTAGTGATTGGCTCTTTTTGTTTGGAAAAAAATCTCAAGTGATTTCTTTGTTGTAAGAGCACACCAATAATAAAGTGTCTTTTATAACACTGCTCATATGTTTCAGTTTGAACAGTGTTTTTCTGGAAAATAATGAAAATGTAACATGATTATTGTCCTTGTTTCTCCCTCTCTCTCCTCTCTGACTATTCTTTACTTCCATTTCCTCTCCACAGCTGAACTGAGGAAGTTGGGGGGCCTGAAAACCATCGCGGTGACAACAAATGGCATGAACTTAGCCAAGCTTCTGCCCAAACTGAAAGATGCTGGACTAGACCTCATTAACATCAGCCTGGATTCACTTGTCCCTGCCAAATTTGAGTTCATTGTGAGGCGGAAAGGTACAGAAAAACTCTGTGGGTTCACATCACGAGCCGAGTTTGAAATCATTCTGCCCATGTACATGTATTCTTCACGTCCACAGGAGAGATTGTTGCATTTTTTTTCCAGGAGCTAATTCAACAAGATCATTTTTTTGTCTAATGTTGTTGCGTTGGCTTGTTTTTTTTTTAGTGCACTGTGTGGTTTAGAGCAGTGGATCCAAAACTCTATTTCCCCAAGGCATACCAAAGGTCAAGTAAAAATCTCAAGGCACACCTATTGTGCAAAATAGCCTTAATAACACGTTATCCCTCATAACATGTAACATTTCTATAAATGTGCATAATTATTTACTGATGCCAAATTAAATGTGACAAAGACGACAATATTACCCATGAAATCTTTATTCACGAAATATTTCTAAGATTAGTTTTAAACTTTATCAAATTAGGCCTCATCAAAGCAACAACACACTAATTTAAACAAAATTAAAAATGAGGCAAAGGAAACCGAGATGAAAAGATGTTTTCATTCCTGTCCTAAAGCTTGGCGTTTAACCCGTTGAGATGCCCAAATATGCCTCCAAGGTAAGCCAGCCAGACGCACCACCTCTCATCCACAAGTTTGTCCTTATTAGTCCTTGAGCCAGACCAGATGTCGGTACCACTTGGGTGGGCAAAACCTTACATATATTAATTTGTTTTTAGGGTCAATATAAGTAAATTAAAATATGATAGACTTTTCATAGGGGTAGCTTTTTATATTTTTTCTCATTTTGTTATTTTCCTCAATAGGCGAATTTTTGTTAACTCCAAAAGCAACACAGAAAGTCAAAAGCACATTAAAAGTCACACTCTTTTTGGGTCACACTGCTCTTTTCTATAAATGAATCAAACCTGTGTCTAATGTGTTGATTAATAAATGATGACCAAAGGGAGCTATGTTAACAGACCCACTGTGACTCAGTGACAGTATTATGTACTAAGCCAAAACTTGACAGTCATATTTGCTGTCACTGTTTCTTATGGAAAGAATAGGACTTTGAATAGGAATTGGAGTTTTTCTCAGATGATTGTATAGAGTGTATACATCAGTAGATCTTATTTTGTTGCTAATGTCTTCTTGCCCTGCACCAGCCAGGATGATTGTATAATGAGTTCCTGCATTTAAAATATGTCAGTGTCATATTAAAGTTGTGTTATTATAATGCTATTAGTCTGCATTTACTTTACTTCTACTTCTAAGTAAAAAAATATCCTTAATTTAGACCTTGATTTAGACCTGACAATTGGCTAATTGAAGCTTATACTGTATATACACACCTGTATTAGATAAATTACTTGAAATACTACTTAGGGGGTTATTACAAGTCTCTATGGCTAGCCAATAGTTCAAACACACCTAAATGAGAGGTTAAAATGAAAGAAAGCTAATTTTGAAGGAAGGCGATTTTTCATTTTTGAACAGCTGCACTCTATTACTTCAATGAGTGATAACTACAATAAAGCTACCAGTTACCAAGGTCTATCATATAAAAACTTATTGTAGGGATGTATAGCAATAAAAAAATCACAACTAGAATTTGCCCACCCAGGTGGTACCGATATGTGAAATTTTGGTTCTTGGCTCAAGGACTATATGTGAGACGGCATGAAAATTCTTAAAGCTCTTCCCAAAGCTCATACTTTCCCCTGTGACAGCCACTGTACCTCTGAGTGCGTACAAAGTAATGATATAGTAACGATGTATTAAAAAATATATATTTTTGTACAATAATAATGTATGGTTATCACAAAATCTCAAGGTACACCCGGACTTACCAAAGTGCCGCCGCACACCGTTGGGGAACCAATGGTTTAGAGTGCTCTTGACTGACTCCTCACTATTGCTGCGTCCGAACTGCCCGCTCGGATACTACATGCTACTGCTACGTGCTACTGCTAGATCCTACTCCTACATACTAAAAACGTTGGCCCAATTCGGACACACTAGACGAGCGGTGGGGAAAGACGACCCCCGCAGGCAGAAAGTAGGTACTGCGCCCGTGCAGACAGTGGTAACTGAAGCCCCTCATCTGCGGGCCTGGCTGTAGTACTGCAGCTGTGCAGTTTAATGATGGAATAAGTGAGCTTTACCTCCATGATGTCGCCACATATTTGCTCATAAAATGATTACTTGGGCAAATATGACACCATGACATGACAAAGAGATGCAACCGCACATTTTTTAGGACAGTGTGTGAAGTTACATGAAACTTACATCTGTACTGCTGCGGTCCCGCCTGCTGCTGCTGCTGCTCCGCCATGGTGCGCGCTGCTGTGGCCAGCCGGCGTTCGCGACACTTTTAAATAGGCAGAGCAGCTGGTGGCGCTAGCATCACATGCGCTTCTACAACTTTTAAGAGGACGAAGAAGAAGCCCGCGGTGCATTTTGGGTCAGTAGCATGCCCGTAGGATGCACCGAGACCAACCTACAATGTGGGCGTGTCTAGCATCTGAAGTAGTATCTGAAGTAGCATGCTACTCGCTCCGGTGGCCAATTCGGACATGCTAGATACTTCTTCGACTACTACTTCGACTACTACTTGGCAATTCGGACGCAGCTTATGTCTTCCTCAGCTTGAGAAACTCATAAGCCTGAAAAGTCCTCCCAACAGATTTTCGCATTGAGAGCTTGTTTGATAAAACTTCCAAATTCTCAGAATTTTATCACTTGGTGTGACTCTTCAGACCACAATCAGTCTTGTGGTGTGAAACGCTGTTACAAATTGTCCTCCCAAGACAAGATGGATTTTTTTTTTTTAACCAATAAAAAAACGCTGTGATTTGTTTAAGTCTGTTAGTTTTTTTCTGTTATGTGTTAGTGTATTTTACAAGCAGCTGCTACAAGTTGTTTGAGTTTTTCTACTTAAAAAAACAAAACAAAAAAAACCTCTGCCTTCCTTCAGTTTCATTTCGTTGCTACTGCTTATACATCACTGTGTATGTATACAGACACACTGGGCATGCTCAGAAAGAAAACAGCATTAAGACAATCAGAGTGACTGTAAACACGATGCCAGTCTGAGTGAAGATTCCTATGCTCACCTGATAGCATCACCTGGACAGAGTTTCATCATCTCAAGAAAGGATATCTCAGTTTCCCTACATGAAAGGACAATTGATGCAGCTGTGTCAGTGTGTGAGTCACCTGTAACTCGTGTTTGAAGTTTGATCTTTGTGTTTCAGGGTTTCACAAGGTGATGGAGGGTATTGATAGGGCTGTCCAAATGGGCTACAACCCGGTCAAGGTAAATCTTTTTATCCTTTTTGAAGCCCCTGTGTGGAGTTTTTAAGGGGGTTTTTACACTTGGTCCCTTTTTAAAAGAACCATACTCAGTCCTCTGTTAGTGGATCAAAAGCAAATAAGGAACATTTTGAGTTTCTTTCAAGGAGGATTGGGTTCTCTTTCTGGTCCAGTTTAGTTTTGATGTGGCCTCAGTTCTCTTTCTGTTCACACTAAGTCCTCTGGAGTATTTTATCATGAGTGATGAGGTACTTCTGTCTTTGTTTTTTGTTTTTTTTTTAACTTTAACTTTAAACTCTTAAACTACAGATATTTAAACGTAACCTGCTGCTTTCATCCTTGAAGGCGTTAATTTTTTTAAACCTCCATCCAGCCTTGTTTGTCGTCAAAAGAGACATGCAGATAAGTGTTCATAAAATAATCAATAATATAATAAAGCATAATAAAATAATAAAGAATATATGGTAAATTCATTTGCTCATGGTAAATTGATTTAATGTACAGGCATAAAAGTATCAGAAGATATATGTAAATATATATATATAAGATATATGTACGACCACGATTACGCATGCACACACACACACACACACATATATCTATGTATATATATTTATATTTATATATATATATATATATATATATATATAGCATATCTGAGATATATTCTCACGTTATGGTCTGAAGGACCTGTGCATCCTTATGCATGTCCATCCACTTGCTCTGAAGTAAGGTTTGAGTTGAAAAAAAAAGTCCCCCTCTCTTTGTCCCAGACTGCAGAGCTTGGATGTCACATTTTCGACTGTTAAAACTCCCGGTTATAAACATATACGCAGATTTGCACCATTGCACACATGTAGGGGCATAAAAATTATTCCCTACACATGTGGCCCACTCTAAGACATCCATTTTTAGTGGCATGTATTGTTTCATTAAATTCTGATGATGTTCAGTGGGTGACATAGCACTTCAAACACTAAGTCTATAGATGAAAAACTGAGGGCACAGCACCAAAGGGATTAATACTGTGTGTTGGCACAATCTGTTGTGTCACTGTAGGAAAGTAAAATCTAGAGCCGTGGGTTTTTGGGTACCAATGATCCCAGGAGCTCAGTTGCTGGAGGCTTTATACCCCTGTTAGGGTCATCAGAGCCTAACAGTGGGAGGGACAGACAAAGTAACTCAAAAAGGCCCTATATGATGAATTCAATAAATTGTAAACATTTCACTTCGCTGGAAGTGGGTCACCTGACTGGTTTTTCCGCAGGTGAACTGTGTGGTCATGAGAGGCCTGAATGAGGACGAACTGCTGGACTTTGTGGCTCTGACGGAGCAGAAACCTCTGGAGGTACGCTTCATCGAATACATGCCCTTTGATGGTGAGTGTTCACTTCCCTGTGTGTCTTATCACACAGGTTTAGTTAAGACAGCCCTATCATAGTAATTAGCTCACTATTTTTTTAGATAATGAGATGAAATTTAATAGGAAAACCAGCTTGTTAGACTAAAGAATAAAGATAAAGAAACAAGTAAATAGAAAGCATGGCTGCATGTCTACCCAAGGCTTTCAGATGTAACTATAATGTACCAATCCTCACCACTTTGGACCCCCACAAAGACATCTTTTCCCCCTGCAGGCAACAAGTGGAACTTTAAGAAGATGGTGAGCTATCAGGAGATGCTGGACCGTATCAGGCAGCAGTGGCCTGACCTCCAAATGCTCCAAACAGGTCACACAGACACAGCCAAGGTCAGTGTTCCTCCCTGCAATTAATAACTGTAGTATCAATACAGATCCAACTTTTAATTTTAACGGGTTAAATTAGAATCTGAACAGCTACAAATGATCCTGACAAGCATGCTTTATTTGGAACAACTTCAAGACATAATTAAGTTTTACTCTACATAGATTTTATTCTGACATTGCTTTTTTAAAACAGTGAGGTGATGTATCTCCAGAGTTACGACAAAGAAAGGCTGAACACAGTTATAACCGTCACGCCAACAAAGCATATGCTGAACATTTCTGTGAAATCTTACTCTTGACCTGCTACACATCTGGTGTGAGATCCAAACCCAGTCATTCATATTAACAACATTTTATCTTTGACCTGAAACAGACATTCAAAGTGCCAGGCTTCAAGGGCCAGATCGGTTTCATAACCTCTATGTCAGATCATTTCTGTGGTTCCTGTAACCGCCTACGCATCACAGCAGATGGTAACCTCAAGGTAAAGCTACATTTGTTGTACTTGAAGCGCTACAGTTGGTGAGGGTATTGCCAATGTGCTCCTCAGATTGTCCTAGTCCCCGAATGGAAAATTCTGACTTTGGTGTCAAAAGAAAAAAAAGTGTGTGTGTCTGCTGGTTTCCCTAGTGTGTGTGTGTGTGTGTGTGTGTGTGTGTGTGTGTGGGGGGGGGGGGGGGGGTGTATGTTTGAGGTGCTCTGTGGAAAAACTTCGATGCGTTTCGGCATCATCATTTTGTGCATCAGGCCTTCATCAGGCAGTTGTAAAGAGGTTGAAGTTTGCTTTTAAGGTCTAAATGACTGTGCTGTTTCAATCAAGGCATTTTATTAGAATGAAAAGAGTGCCCTTGACTTTGGTGTGTTCACATGTTCTGACTTCACCCATTTCAAGTCTCCTCTTTCCTTCTGGTCCTCTTCCAGGTGTGTTTATTCGGTAACTCTGAGGTGTCCCTGAGAGATGTCCTGCGCTCAGGATCATCAGACGAAGAGCTTCTTCAAATCATTGGAGCAGCAGTGGGCAGGAAGAAGAAACAACATGCAGGTAGGTAGAGTTGCGTACTGAGAACCTGTTCCTATTTGGAACTTTAAGTCTTTACTTCGGTTCCAAGTGCCAAGTATTTTGCTTTCGGGAAGTGTATATCTCTGCTCAGCATTCTCTGTGCATTGCGTTTATAAACAATATATTCATTTATCTAGAGCATTTCTTCTCAACAAAATTGAGACAATGCAGACAATGCAGACTGGAAGACAATGCATGCGTGCGTCGAGTCACTGGCTTTACTTAGAACTGAGCTGAGGGGCAGAGCAGCAGAGAGCATTGATGAGCTGCACTGTTTTATAATGAAGTCATACTCGTTCTGGGGTTCAGTGTGGAACTTTGCCTCTCAGAGTGTGTTTCCAAATGAACCATTGAACATGTATGGTAAATTCAATGGTCTGTAATGCAAAGATAAAGTATATGCTAAGCAAACTCAAAAATATGGAAGCCCGTTTCCGCTAATGAAAAAAAAGGGCTTCCACACAAAACCCCAAACACTTAAAGTATTTTATAAACTCCCCCCAGACAGGCCGTACAGCCCCCCAAAAGAGGGCATGTCCAGGTCAAAGAGGACGTAAGGTCACCCTATTAAACACCTCCAGATTTCTGTAGTTAAAATAACTGAGTGCCCCATCTTTGACGCGCTGTGCCTCTAACCACTCAGAATCAGATAAGTAAAACAATTACGTCTGTTCTCTGCCAACTTGGAAGCTGTAAATGTATTGTAGAGAATATGGTGTGTCAACTTAATTATCCAACTAACGTTAGTCCGTGTTCTTTTTCATAGCCAAACGTCCTGACAACAAAGATTGATATTTATATACTGGTTGAAAATAGCCCTGAGGAATTTATAGTTAAGTTCATAAAAAGTTCATATAAAAAATTCACGGAGAGGTGCAGACATTTCACCCAAAAAAAACTCTGGTAAGCGCCCTCACTTTTTTAATCCTGCTTTTTAGAAGAATGGAAATAGAGAATTGTCAGGAACCAGAACTGAAAGAAGGAATCTGAACCGGAATCGTTCAAATTTAAATGATGCCCAACCCTAAAGGTAGGGTTGTGTTCAGACACACTGGGGTGGGGATATGCTGCATTCCAGTTGTACTCGAAAGTCAGGATTTCCGAACTGTGAGTCGGAAATTTATCTGGAAGGCCCCCCTGAAGTCAGACTTCTGACTCGGAAAGTCGAACGATCCTCACCAACCCTGACTTGACGATAACGTCATAATCAAAGATGGCAGCGCAGTGCATCAACAGTAAAGAGTAACAGTAAAAGCTCTCCTAATGTAGTATTCATTTGCAAAAGTAAATTACTGTGTTATATGTTGTTTACAACTGGTATAGCTAACAACAACTAACAACCGTTGACAGTGGCTAACAACAACTAACAATTGTTGACAACAGCTAACGACAGCTAACATTAGGTGTCCATCTTGGTTTTCTGACTTGTTTACTGGAACGCTGTTAACTCGGGTGTAGCGTCATTCCCAGCTCCGAAATCTGACTTCCGAGGTAACTGGAACGCAGCAATAATCATTTGTAAGAATATGACTGTCTGTCTGTGTGTGTTCAGGGATGTTCAGCATCTCTCAGATGAAGAACCGGCCTATGATCCTTATTGGTGGGTGACACAGCTGTACGTACAAATTTCTCACACTCATATTACTCCTACTGTATGCGCAGCACATTTATACTAAGTATAACAAATTTTGTGAGAAGAGTTTCGACATTGTATCAAATGTTGATACATGAGAGTTAGATGGTTTGCAAATTTTTTCACACACCTGTATTTAGTTCAAAATAGCTTTATTCTTGAAGGAAAACATCTTCTCATTTTAACTTAAACCTAGAGGAACATCATTTAACTAAGAGTAGAGATCCCAACTCTGTAAGAGACTGCAGGAGTGAATAGTTTACCATTTTACAAACCTGCTCCTCAGAGTAAGACTGCAGAGAATTTTAGTTTTAACATCCCCAGTTTAAAATCTCATTAAAATATTCATTGAATTTTCTGTACTGATGGCAGCAAACCAGTGTTGAATAGTCAAATACCTTCATCTGTGAATACAGTTTGTTACTGCAAATGCAAATGTCTTAACTGTACCATGCAAAGATGAAAATGAAGCTCAGCGTTAGTTCATGCAAGACACAGAAGTGTCACTCTCGTGAAAAACAGTCATGTGGTGCACAGTGTCCAAACTCTGTTGATAGAGTTAGGGTTGTTCATTTTAACCAATGTCAATACAAACATTAATGGTTGCAAGAGTTCCTTTGTGTAGCTTTCATCCAAATATTGTTGTTGGTTAGTCCTTTATTCTCCATTTTCCAACAGGTACACCATCCCAAACATCCGTGTTATGGCTCAGCCAGAAAGATTTTTTCATTGTTACCCAGCTGACTAACAACACCTTCATCTCTGCAGAATCAGCTCCTGACATGAGCCATTTGGGCAGCAGGAGAGTCCTGAAGAGAGAGGAGGGATCTTTGTGCCTTCCAGACTGCACTGCTTCAGCCCGGGCAGCCTGTGTCAGCCTATACACCGCTGTAATAAGTGGGGGTATCCAAACCATGTCACACATTTACACACAAGAGAACCTTAGAGTGGAACTTTCTCCCACTTCTGAAGTCGTTAATGGTCTCAATTTCACTAAGACTGCTCCTTTTAATTCTTGTACAAACAGCAGAAGTGTCTTAAATGAAGACTGTCTCAGGTTTGCACCAGCCAGGAGTCCCAACAGTCTGAAGGGTGCCTTACCAGGGACCTTAGGAACACAGATGTTTTGCACACTACGAATGAATGTCAAGAGAACTGTTGAACACACTAATATAAGATTGTGCCATTGCAGGAGCTCCAGTGCAGATCTGAGACAATGTAAGATTGTTGGGATTGGGTTAGGGTCAGACACCAACCAGAATGAAACCACTGAAGCACATCTGACGCACACAGACGAGCATGGCAAGGCCACCATGGTGGATGTCGGGGGGAAAGTTCCCACGCGACGAACAGCCACGGCGAGTGCTACCGTCATCTTAGGCTCCACTGCCTTCCGCCTGCTCCGAGACAACCAGCTTGCTAAAGGTGACGCCCTGGCTGTGGCACGGTTGTCTGGCATCATGGCTTCAAAGCAAACCTCAGCCCTCATCCCGCTCTGTCACTCTCTCCCTTTGGACCATGCCTCTGTCATCTTTGACCTGGATGAGGTGCAGGACGCTGTGGTCATCACAGCGACATGTCGCACTGAAGGCAGGACGGGGGTGGAGATGGAGGCTTTGACAGCAGTTTCTGTGGCAGGACTGACCATTTATGACATGTGCAAGGCTGTGAGTCATAATATCATCATCACAGATATCAAGCTGGTCAGTAAGACAGGCGGAAAGAGAGACTTTGATCGCCATATTTGACTTTCACCTCGCCATAACAACCTCAGCAAGAAAAGGAAGACTGATAGACCTGGAGTGAACATAAAGGATGCTCCATTTTGACCTCATTTATTATATATTTATACTAATAATTTCAGATCAAGCTGTCTACTTTTACCCATTTTATATGAATCCTCTGATCAAACCAGTATTTGTGTAGACTGTGAATTCACTGTCTTCTCCTGTGTGTGATTGGGGTCGTATGGGGCGCCTACCTTTAATCTGCCATCTCCTTCGACATTACATGCACTGCGGCAGAGACCACAACTATGAGGTCATGGGCAGCCCTGATTCACATGAATGTTGAACATAAGTTAGCTTAGGTACCAAGTGTTAACAGAAGAATGAGCGATGGGGAGAGGATGGCTTTACACACCACTTCTTAACTGAGTTGTATTGCTGTTGTAAGCACTCTACATGTCTGTCAGTTGACCTTTTTTTTTTTTTTTGGGTATAATTACACTACCGTTCAAAAGTTTGGGGTCACCCAAACAATTTTGTGTTTTCCATGAAAAGTCACACTTATTCACCACCATATGTTGTGAAATGAATAGAAAATAGAGTCAAGACATTGACAAGGTTAGAAATAATGATTTGGATTTGAAATAAGATTTTTTTTTACATCAAACTTTGCTTTCATCAAAGAATCCTCCATTTGCAGCAATTACAGCATTGCAGACCTTTGCCTCAACAAATTAACAGCTAGAATGCCAATCTGGAGAAATTGCACCCCACGCTTCCAGAAGCAGCTCCCACAAGTTGGATTGGTTGGATGGGCACTTCTTGCGTACCATACTGTCAAGCTGCTCCCACAACAGCTCAATGGGGTTCAGATCTGGTGACTGCGCTGGCCACTCCATTACCGATAGAATACCAGCTGCCTGCTTCTGCTCTAAATAGTTCTTGCACAATTTGGAGGTGTGTTTAGGGTCATTGTCCTGTTGTAGGATGAAATTGGCTCCAATCAAGCGCTGTCCACTGGGTATGGCATGGCGTTGCAAAATGGAGTGATAGCCTTCCTTATTCAGAATCCCTTTTACCCTGTACAAATCTCCCATCTTACCAGCACCAAAGCAACCCCGGACCATCACATTACCTCCACCATGCTTAACAGATGGCGTCAGGCATTCTTCCAGCATCTTTAGGGCCCGAGCCAGCTGCAACGCAGCCGGGCGTAGAGCCCTATTATTCCTGTATCGTTCTTCTTTCTTCTTTCTTTCTTCTTATTTTTCCTCCCCTTTGAACTGGAAAATGGCCCACTTCCCACGGGCGAAAACTCATGAAATTTGGCAGGACGACCAGGCCTCGTGAAAAATTTGATATTCTGAAGTCGCCCAGACAATAAAATGCAAAATGGCTCCATAGCGCCCCCTAAGTTGAAAATTCACACAATTGAGTGTCACCCCTGTACGCTATGTCATATTGACACAAAAATTGACACACGCGTGTATCTCAATAAGGTCTACGAAAAAGTCAGTGCGGGCGTATCTGTCAAATTTACGGTTAAAGGGCTATTTCGCATTTTTTGCCGATCTGCACACATTGGAATGTGGCTAACTCCTCCAAAGGCTTTCGTACCACCGGCACCAAATTTGCTCAGGCCAATCTACACCCCATGGCCATTAAAAGTTACACAAATCATGACGCTGCCCCCCACGGTTTACGTTCTAGGGGGCGCCAAAGATAACCCAAAAATCCACATTCTTAAAAGTCTTATAACTTTTTATTTTTGTCCTCACCGGCCTCCAAGTTTTCTAGGATGATGCAATGTCCAGCCATCAACACATTTGTGAAGGAATTTTTACTCCCCAAAAGAGCGCCCCCCCCATGGCAGGAGAAAAAAGGCAATTTTTTCTTGTCCCCTAAGGTGAAAATACACATTGTTGAGTGTCACGCCTGTACGCTTTGTCATATTGACACAAAATTTGACACACACGTGTATCTCAATAAGATCTACGAAAAAGTCAATGCGGGCGTATCTGTCAAATGTACTGTTAAAGGGCTATTTCGCATTTTTTGCCGATTCACGCACATTGGAATGTGGCTAATTCCTCCTTAAGCTTTCGTCTCATCGGCACCAAATTTGATCAGGCCAATCTACACCCCATGGCCATTAAAAGTTGTAAAAATCATCTTGCTGCACCCCATGGTTTACGTTCTAGGGGGCGCCAAAGATACCCCAAAAATCCACATTCTGAAAAGTCGTTTTGGCCACTGAGTGGCGCCAAAGGGAGTTGTCTATTAAATCTGATGCTACAGAAAAAGTTAAAAGGCTTAAATTTTTGCTATATTAGTGACTTTATGTCTTAAATGGGCTCTTAAATGGTTAAAAAATATTTTCAATGAAACATTTGCTAGTTTTGAACAGGGAAGAAGTAAAATAAGAGATGTACAAAAGAAAAATCTGGAAAAAATATTAATCCAATTTGATTTTACAGCGGACAAAGTAGTTTTGGCCACTGAGTTGCGCCAAAGGGAGTTGTCTATTAACAGCAGACAAAATAGTTATGGCCACTGAGGGGTGCCAAAGGGAGTTGTCTATTAATTCTGATGCTACAGAAAAAGTGAAAAGGCATCAAAGTCAATCATATTACTAATCTCTCACATATTCAAGACTTTGATGCCCTGCAAGATATAACCAGTTTTTATAATGTTTGATTAAAAAATTGGTCATTTTCCTTACCCCCCATGGCAGGAGAAAAAGTCAAGTTTTTCCTGCCCATCGCTCAATGGCTCAAACGCATCGCTCTCTCAGGAAAACCAAAAGGAGGAGCAACTTCCCATTTGGATATATCCTAGCTGTGTTTGTGCCCTCACTCATGGTCCAGACTTATTTCAAAAAGGACATGAAGTTTGTCTGCAGCGAGCGTTTTGGTAGAGACTGCGCCTCCCATTCATTATAATGGTAAATGACCACAGACAAGTGCGCACACCATCTTTGGACCTTGAGTGTGACGTGATCAGGAGGGGGGGGGGCGGTCGCGCTGGGGGCGGCGCGACACGGCTCAGGCCCGCCAGTGCCCCAACGGGGCCCTAGTTTCATTTGTTCTGTGTCTCACAAACGTTCTTCTTTGTGATCCAAACACCTCAAACTTGGATTCATCCGTCCACAACACTTTTTTCCAGTCTTCATCTGTCCAATGTCTGTGTTCTTTTGCCCATCTTAATCTTTTTCTTTTATTGGCCAGTCTCAGATATGGCTTTTTCTTTGCCACTCTACCCTGAAGCCCAGAATCCCGCAGCCGCCTCTTCACTGTAGATGTTGACACTGGTGTTTTGCGGGTACTATTTAATAAAGATGCCAGTTGGGGACCTGTGAGGCGTCTGTTTCTCAAACTAGAGACTCTAATGTACTTATCTTCTTGCTCAGTTGTGCAACGCGGCCTCCCACTTCTTTTTCTACTCTGGTTAGAGCCTGCTTGTGCTGTCCTCTGAAGGGAGTAGTACACACCGTTGTAGGAAATCTTCAATTTCTTAGCAATTTCTCGCATGGAATAGCCTTCATTTCTAAGAACAAGAATAGACTGTCGAGTTTCAGATGAAAGTTCTCTTTTTCTGGCCATTTTGAGCGTTTAATTGACCCCACAAATGTGATGCTCCAGAAACTCAATCTGCCCAAAGGAAGGTCAGTTTAGTAGCTTCTGTAACGAGCTAAACTGTTTTCAGATGTGTGAACATGATTGCACAAGGGTTTTCTAATCATCAATTAGCCTTCTGAGCCAATGAGCAAACACATTGTACCATTAGAACACTGGAGTGATAGTTGCTTGAAATGGGCCTCTATACACCTATGTAGATATTGCACCAAAAACCAGACATTTGCAGCTAGAATAGTCATTTACCACATTAGCAATGTATAGAGTGTATTTCTTTAAAGTTAAGACTAGTTTAAAGTTATCTTCATTGAAAAGTACAGTGCTTTTCCTTCAAAAATAAGGACATTTCAATGTGACCCCAAACTTTTGAACGGTAGTGTATATCTTTCCTTACAGCTGATTTTTACAGTGACCCGAAATGAATCTAGTTGGTGAGTTTTCAATGTTCAGCCTTTAATTTTAACTATATGATGAACTGCTAACAGCACATTTGTAGTAACAGTATTTGATGCCTATGACATCACATGATGTTTGCTGTTGTCAGCCTGATTATACCCAGCCTGTGTCTGTGAGTGCAGCTCATTGATAAGGGTAATGTCGCACACCTGTGCTTAGAGCTCCTGCAGTCACACATTCAGGCCTTGTCCACACATGGCCAGGTATTTGCTAAAACAAATATATTTTTTATATGTTTCAGTTCGACAACCATACTACTAATACTAATACTGAAGACTCGTTTGTGTGTGGACATAAATGACCGGAGTTTTAAATTCCCAAACGTCATTGTCTGTGACAACTAATAAATAAATGTATATGTTATACTATGCGCCCTTGTTTTTGTCAGGCAGTGGACGGCTTAGAGGGTGTTGAATATTGGTTTATAGAAATACCCAGCTACGTGTGTACAAGGCCTCATTCTCTCTGACCTGGCCGCTGCAGGTATACCGCACTTTGGGTTGTTATGTTAGATTAGGTTGAGTTCCAGTTATGTTTGCATTTTACAACATTTACACACCGTATCTTCACTCATGCATATCCCACACTACTTACTCAACTGACTTACACACTTTATGTTGTAAATATTTAATTTTGTCTTTATTCGAAATAACATTAAAGGTGGGGTAGGCAGGATCTGAGGAAGTGCCAGTTTTGTAGAGAAATCTTGAATATAAACACTACCTCTCCCAACCAGGTTTCCCCTCAGCTCCTCCTCTCCCCCCCCCTCTCTGCTCCAGCAAGCCCCACCCACAAACAGACGTTCCTGCTCACTCGTATCGTTCCAATAAAATTCAGATATAGTACAGATAAATACTTCTGATAATTACAAATGGGGCCCAGTCAACATGAAAGTTAAAAGTATTGGTGCTACTGTAGATGCCAACAGACTACCAGCAAACGCCATGTTTGCAGGACTTCTAAAACTAGCATAAAATTACATACTCCAGGACCCAAGGTCAACAGTTTAGCAGTGCTACAACACGCAGCAGGTCCCGTTTGACAAGACACTTGGTTTACTTTGTTAAAGTGGTTTACCTTTCCAGCAGAAAGGTTACAGGGTCTGTTGGATCCCAAAGCATCTCCCATCATTTATGCTGATGTTGACCCGGCTTCTAAGCTCTTGCTCAGTCTACCTCTGTTTTAAGCGCCTGTTATTCCACCAGAGTCGCCAGTATTTACTTCATTTTTTTGCTTGTGTTTGCAGTCATGGCCAAAGAAGGATTCAGACAATTTTACATACTTTCTGGTTGGTTTCTACTGTCCGATGTTGTAGCATGCTAACTTTTTTGGGGGCGCATTAACATTATTTGAGGAGGTGGAGCATGCTTCACAAGACAAGGGAGCAGCATCTGCCTTACAACCAATCAGCACAAGGGAGCAGGATCCGCCTCACAACCAATCAGGTCGGGGAGGTGGAGAACGGCATTGTTTACATTCAGAAAGAGCGGGCCGCTCAAAAATGTTAAAATGTTGACTACACAGGCATACAAGAACACAGTGATATCATTACATTCCCAAATGTCATCAATAACTAATAGCTATTGACTGATATTAAAAGCTTTTTATCTATATAAACTGCAAAAAAGATGCTTCTTTAACAGAATCCTGCGCCCCCCACCTTTAAGTAATTTGCGTGTGATTCTGTGATTTGGGTTGTATGGAGCACCTCCCTTTCATCTGCCATCTCCTCCAACATGACATGCATAATGAGCGCTGGGGAGAGAATGGCTTTACACACTTAATGTTACTTCTTGTTTGAAGTAACATTAAGTAATTTGGTTTAATTTGGCTTAATTTGTAACAAATAAAAACTTTAAAAACTTTTCCATGGTGTTGTCTCCCTTTATTGTTGTAACCACTTGAGCCAGGTCATGACAGGTCACTGATAACCTAATATTTTCTCTGAAAGTCTTTTGATTCTTGACCATAGACTGTATATACTCTGGACAACTTGGTTCCGCCTACCACCCGTATACGGATTTGAAGCCAAATAGCTCTCTGTATTTCCGGGATTTTTCTTCATTTCCTGAAACCAGCGCTGCGCAGTAGCGATGCGCGCATCGCGGCCACGCAGCCGCCAAGAGTCGCTGTGAGGACACTCGGCTCAAACAGCGTGTCCCCTGGGAGAGCTACGCAATCCCTGAACGCCCACAGGCTGTATCAGGTGTCAATCATAGAAAACATTAACCCCCTAATAACTTTTAAAAATGGAGCTTCACAGAAAAAGAGGACGAGCACAAACCAGTCTTACTATAACTACATGTCAACATCACAACCAGGGGGGAGAAAAGTTTATGTTCTGTGTAATAAATTTCTAAAATTTGTCCTCAGCCCCATAAGCTTTGCTGGCGGAGGCAGGATTTATGACCTATACTGCAGCCCGTCAACAGAGGGTGCTGTTCTCAGAGTGGCTTCACCCAGCAAGGAGGCAGACGGCGTCCATTCTATATACAGTCTATGTTTTTGACATGATGTGAAATGTCAACTTGTTCAACAATAGCAGAATGTGTTAGGCAATCACAGCCTGGTGTTGTATGACTGAAAGTAGGCTGATTCCTGTGCTGCACCAGAGACCAGTGTGTCTGGCTACTTGTATACCTGCAGAGAAGTAGCTAAGGTTTGAATATCATTTATTTTTCTCTTTGGGGTGAACTGATGTCAATGAAAATGCTGTATTGTTTTCAAATTCTCCCTGACACAATTGCAATAAAATGTCATTTCATTAAAAAACCACTTTGTCTTTCATTGCATCACAAATCAGAAATGTCCATGTCCATGAATTTCACTAAACTTAACAGATTGTAACATTGTTTTGGATGTTTCTAATATCAGGAGCAGGGTCCTGATGTTAGTGAATGCTAACAAAGTAAAAGTAAAAATGTTTACGACAAGGCTACTTTTATGGCCTGCCAACATAAAAAATAAAAAAATGTCACTGTAAATATAAGTCTGACAGCTTTTGAGCTTGGTCTTCACAGAGATGACTCAGACCAATTATGTCAACAGCCTCAGCAGCTCAGACTGCAGCGATTACTTTATCCAAACAGGTGTTATTGGAGCAGTCCTCAACTTTCACAGACTTTTGTTAACCCTGTCCCAACTTTTTAGTGTATAAGACAAAGGTAGAGAAAGATTTGAAAATCATTGTATTATGTTTTTGTTCACATTTTAGAGACCAACCAACTTCACTGGAATCAGGGTTTGTAGATGCTGTGGTAGTTGGGTGTGGTTCTGTCTTGTCTGCAGGGAAAAGATATGGGAGGGTAGCTTATTGGAGTGTGCCAGTTATTGGCTAATCAGTTCTCTGCTGGTCAGGTGTTTGACTGTGCTTTGTTCAGATGATGCAATTTTAGGGGTTGGACTCTGAAAATGTGATGAAACATTACTCTTTGGTTAGAACTTTTCTGACTGAAAGACCCAAATGTGTTAATGCTTAAAACAAGTTATGAGCTGTTAAAGATCTCCAAATGAGGAGGGAAGGAGCTTCTTGCTTCCTTTATTGCCTCCTTTACAGCAGAAACACTATCTTTTTTGTTTGCTATTATAAAGATGAATGATTGATGAAAAAAAATCATCTGAGACAACTGAGTTGTTATTTGAGGTCGACAGTGCTTCACACAAAAATGATCTCTGAAACTATTCAAGTCTCAGGAGAACATTTAGTAATCACTACAGACACAATAAGATAAACCATTTACTCCATCTACGCTGCAAAAGCTCTCCACAACATCAGCTTTAGGTTCATGTTGTGACTCCGACTGTTTCTTGAAAGTCAGCTGTTTGCAAATAACAACTTATTAGCCTCTAACTCACATAAAGACTGTTATTGGTCGCAGTTCAGAGGGTGGGACTCTCTGAAAACGTCTGTTTTACAAGGAGGAGAAGAAGTGTTGGGGTGTTTTTCTTGAAGGTGAATAACTGGTACAGAGCTCTGCTTTGCTCTCATCTGTCTCTACATCAGGACACCAGGGTAAGTGGCTCTAAATCTTCAGCACAAACTCACTGGCTTCTTCTTTCACCAGGTCACCAGGATTTGGTTGCTCTTTAAAGGTGCTGAAATTTGCTCATGACCAGGTAGCGAGTTCCAGGATTTGTCTCCTTTCACAGAAAAAACTGGGTGAGCAAAAGATGTTTTACAGAATGAAACTTTACAGTGACCACTTAAAAGCTGCTCTGGTGGATCTCCTGCAGCTCTGCAGTCTCATTATGTTTGTACAGAAAGGCTGTTTGTAGTCTGATTGTAGAGGCACTCTACAGGTTTGATGACTGGCTGGATTGTCCTGGACCAGGTCTCTATTTACCCCCAGATATTTGGCCTTTGCTCCACACACTTAAGTTGTGACATTCAGAGGCCCTGTTGAAGGTTTTACAGAAAAGCAGATTGACTTGGTTATTTTGAAGACAAGAGGCACCGGGCCAAGTTGATATTTATTCAAAGTTTCAGGTTTTCTCTTTAGCATGTACAGCTGAGTCATTAGCATACAAGAGCTAACTTTGACAACTATGTTAAATTAAGTCTTAGTCCTTGGACTCAAATGTCTTCTGGTTGTCATTTGTATTTAGTCGTTTTTGCACCTTATACATGTAGCCTAGTCTTAGTCAAAAAAAAAGTCATCACTTTAAATAATTATTTCTCACATTTCTTCATGCGAGTCTATAAATAACAGGGACTCTGTAACTTCTTTTTCACTCCAGTCTCCAAGAAACACCATGGAGGATCAAGATGACAATGACCAGATAGAGAAAGAAGTCAAAGAGGCTCTACAAATGGATGACCGAGCCTCAGCTGCTGCTAAGATCCAGCAGTATTTGGAGAGAGACAAAAACGTTTCTCTAAATATTGCTGTCACAGGAGAGTCTGGCAGTGGAAAATCCACATTTGTTAATGCTATCAGAGGTGTACATGTTGATGACAAAGGAGCTGCACCCACTGGTTGTGTAGAAACCACCATGGAGGCTACACCATACCTCCATCCAAACTATCCTAATGTCACAGTCTGGGATCTTCCTGGAATAGGCACCATGAAATTTCCAGCTGATAAGTACCTGGAGAAGGTTGACTTTGAAAAGTTTGACTTCTTCATCATCATCTCAGCTGATCGATTCACAGAATATGATGTGATGTTGGTGAAGGAGATCCAGAGGATGAAGAAGAAGTTCTACTTTGTCCGCTCCAAGATTGACGATAATATACGAAATGAAAAAAGGAAAAAGGCTTTTGATAAGGAGAAGACTCTCACAAAAATCAGGGACAAGTGCATCAAAGGTAGGTGATACCACAGACATAATTAGAAGACTAGATACGCCTGCCCACTAAGCGACTTGCCTATGAGGCAGCTATCGTAGCAGGGACATTTTTCCCATTAAAGGCATTAGATGTACATGGGAAATGTTTTATTTTAGTTTTTGAATCAAATGCTCTGCATTGATAGCACACGTTTTGGTGTTGACAATAAAGTCAACCTCATGAAAATCAGTTAAGAAATGAGCAGGATATGATTTATTTCTCATGTACATCTTATGCCTTTAAAGGGAAAGTTGCCCTTGCTAAGATGGCTGCCACGTAGGTATGCAGCTGAAAGGGGCATTTCGTATCTACTGTTCATATCTACGGGTGACACATCCTGATACAATATACTGCACAAAAAAAATGGAGGCCATGACTGTCCCAGGCTTGAAAGCCAAAAACGAAAGCTCCCCCTGCTGACTAGCTGCAGTTAAGGTCATAACCTCAACTTTCATGTAAACAGAAAGGAGAGTCAAACTGAAATATATGAAGGTCTGACATCAGTCCAGTGAGGCCTCCAGCTAGGCTGCTTCAGAGCATTTCTTGGTTTCACCAGCCCAATTGTCAGCTTCCTTGAAGTCAGTCACAATTAGAAGAATAAAGTGACATTGTCCATAAATATTCTAAGATTCAAAGAACGTGCCTGTTTGCACTTAAAGACACCCTAGGTTTCAGTCAAGTTGATTTAGGGTCAGGGTCAGGGTCAGGGCACCATCTCTTTGATATCAAATATTTGAAAGCTTTCAGTTCATGGTTAATGAAAGCTCTCAGGCACTGTGCCCCTGGTTTTGTGGGCAGATCTAAGATCCTGGTCTGATGAGAGGCTGTTATTATTACTTCTTATCAAAGTGATGTCTTGTACTTTAGCCTTAATATTGATTTCTTTTTAATCAGACTTATTTTATTGTCTGTGGTGTTTCTTTGTGGTTGTTAAGTCTCTTGACGTTTTGTTGCTTAAGTTTATGAGGAAGACAAAAAGAGGAACAACTTTCACGGTTGAGATTACTTGAATTTTACAATCACAGCTATGATTAAAGCAGAGGTCCAAAATCCCACAGCACATGTGTTTACAGAGCTCTGCTGTGTCTGCAGTCAGGCACTCGTGGCAAAGTCCTGCAGGTTGGAATCAAACCTGCCATCTGTTCAGAGGACTACAGCCTCTGTACATAGGGCATGCACCTTCAATGCCCTGTATATCCATATTGTACTTCTTGTTTATCAGCCTATTTCTCTTTTGTGACACAGGTCTTCAAGAACAAGGTTTTGAGTCTCCTGAGGCTCAGGTCTTCCTGGTGTCCAGCTTTGACCTCCACCTCTATGATTTCCCTCTGTTAGAGGACACTCTGGAGCGAGAACTTCCTGAACACAAGAGAGATGTCTTTATGTTAGCCATGCCCAACAGCAGCCTGGAGATGATCTCTAAGAAGAAGAAAGCTTTTCAAGCCAAGATTAAACACTTTGCAACTCTGTCTGCATCCTCAGTAAGCGAGCTTGCTGAGGATGCACAAAGAGTACTCAGTAAGGCCCTGAGTCTGAACGACGCAGAGTAATAATTCAGAGTGTTACCAACATTCTAAAGTAAGAGAAGAACCTCTGATAGAAAGTTAGACGGGGGTTAGATTTGGATCAAAGAGCATCAAACATTTTACAGCTGATCAGTCCATCCATCCATTCCAGTTTTTACGCAGTCAGATTTAAGATACCTCCACACGTTAACTTAATAACTTTTTGCTTGAAAGCATGTGAAGCTTGGTATTTTTTTGCTTTCAGATAAGCCTTAACCTAAGCTTTTTTTGTTGTTGTTGTTTTAGCCATTTTTTATTTTTTAATGATTGATGTGATTTTTTCTGATATTGTTCGTATTTATTTGTAAAACAGTGTTTAACAGAGTGCCTTGAAACTTCTGCATAAATAAAGCTTTTCTCTCTGAATTTTAAAAGGTGTATTGTGTATAAGAGCAATATTCAGGGGCATCTAGAGGTAAGATTTAAGAATCAAATGCTTTCTCACCAACCTGTCTCGTCACCAAGGCAATGATGGCCATCGAGGACCAAAAGCTATTTACGGCATATAGATGGCATTGTTCACAACAGACATAAGTAAGTCTACTGTTTCAAGTGATGAGGTGGTGATTTTTCTCATTATTACTTTATCTAAGTAGTCACAGTAGATAGCTTAGTTCTAGGATATTGATTAGGAGTTTTTCACTGTTTTGGTCGCACAAGCTGAAATTAGCAAGTGATGCTATATTCCCCGCAACCCCTGCACCTCCAAGCACCCAGTTGGGTGCCCAGAATCGGCGCGCCCCCTCTGTGTTGGTGGTCAGGACCTCCATGGTCCAACATGTAAATTTGCATGGTGGCCGGACCTTCTGCCACCTGGGTGCCACCGTCTAGGAGGTTGAATCCTCCACCCTGCAGCTGAGTGCAGAACATAGCTTGGCCACCACGCTGGTGCTGCAGGCTGGCACCAACAACCTCAAAAAACAACAATCTGAGGTCCTCCAACAGGATTTCACCTCACTTGTGGACTGCCTGCTGCACACCAGGAAGCATGTGGTAGTCTATGGCCCGCTCCCATCACCTTGTCATGGTGACGTCATTAGCAGTTGCATTCACCAGCTGCACCTGTGGCTGAAGGGCTACTGTCTTGGGAGGAGCATTCCATTTGTTGACAAATTCACAGTGCTTATAGACAGGCTGTACCTCTTTAAGAGACACGGCCTGCACCCGAACCAGGAGGGATCATGGCTTCTATCAGTTAACATGGACCCAACCCTCCGTTCCTGTACTGCAGCCACCTTCTGACAAACTGTGAACACATACACACACATGCCCTCCACCCCTCACCTCCCCTGCACTCCCCCACACCTCACACACCTGAACACCTCCAGTGTTTTTTGGTGATTTGGATTTTTCAGTGGAACATTTTCTGACTGTTGTTGTTGGAGTGTTTCCTTTTAATTTTGCTTTAATAAAACCTTTTAGTTCTGCACTTGGGTCCTCCCTTTTGTGGTTTTTCATACTATGACAAACACAGATGAAGAGGTTGTTCGGTTCATAGCTCAATACATTTCATGTGGTCTTTCATCTGATGATGATGGTGCTTTGTTAGATACTGTTTTATCTGTACAAAAGCATTCAAAGAAACATGACACAGCCTGTCAATTTTCCAAAGCCGGTATCTTCTAAAACCTTTTTGTCTCGTGCTCATTACGTTGAAGTGAGCCAGGAAATGACAGCTGATGAAGCTGCAACCCAAGCATCCAGTGCAGAAGAGATAAAGCAGCTGCACCAAGACCTTGAGGCAGTTTACCTGCTCCAAAAGAGCACCATGGATAAAAAGAAGGTTCTTATGAGCCAAAATGAAACACTGTCTCTCAAGCAAAAGCAGGCGAAGGCTGAACAAGAAGAGCACGTAAAACCTAAATGCAGTTCATCTTTACAACAATATTTAAAGCCAATTCAGGAGACATATATAAACTGTTAATGAACCAAATCACCAAACCATAACCCACCTGTTCCCAATGTACCTCTTTACCTGTGGAAGGATCCAAACAGGTGTTATTGGAGCAGTCCTCAACTTTTACAGACTTTTGTTAACCCTGTCCCAACTTTTTAGTGTATAAGACAAAGGTAGAAAAAGATTTGAAAATCATTGTATTCTGTTTTTGTTCACATTTTAGAGACCAACCAACTTCACTGGAATCAGGGATTGTAGATGCTGTGGTAGTTGGGTGTGGTTCTGTCTTGTCTGCAGGGAAAAGATATGGGAGGGTAGCTTATTGGAGTATGCCAGTTATTAGCTCATCAGTTCTCTGCTGGTCAGGTGTTTGACTGTGCTTTGTTCAGATGATGCAATTTTAGGGGTTGGACTCTGAAAATGTGATGAAACATTACTCTTTGGTTAGGAACTTTTCTGACTGAAAGACCCAAATGTGTTAATGCTTAAAACAAGTTATGAGCTGTTAAAGATCTCCAAATGAGGAGGGAAGGAGCTTCTTGCTTCCTTTATTGCCTCCTTTACAGCAGAAACACTATCTTTTTTGTTTGCTATTATAAAGATGAATGATTGATGAAAAAAAATCACCTGAGACAGCTGAGTTATTATTTGGGGTCGACAGTGCTTCACACAAAAATGATCTCTGAAACTATTCAAGTCTCAGGAGAACATTTAGTAATCACTACAGACACAATAAGATAAACCATTTACTCCATCTACGTTACAAAAGCTCTCCACAACATCAGCTTTAGGTTCATGTTGTGACTCTGACTGTTTCTTAAAAGTCAGCTGTTTGCAAATAACAACTTATTAGCCTCTAACTCACATAAAGACTGTTATTGGTCGCAGTTCAGAGGGTGGGACTCTCTGATAACGTCTGTTTTACAAGGAGGAGAAGAAGTGTTGGGGTGTTTTTTTCTTGAAGGTGAATAACTGGTACAGAGCTCTGCTTTGCTCTCATCTGTCTCTACATCAGGACACCAGGGTAAGTGGCTCTAAATCTTCAGCACAAACTCACTGGCTTCTTCTTTCACCAGGTCACCAGGATTTGGTTGCTCTTTAAAATTGCTGAAATTTGCTCATGACCAGGAGTGTCTCCCTATGTTTGTACAGAAAGGCTGTTTGTAGTCTGATTGTAGAGGCACTCTACAGGTTTGATGACTGGCTGGATTGTCCTGGACCAGGTCTCTATTTACCCCCAGATATTTGGCCTTTGCTCCACACACTTAAGTTGTGACATTCAGAGGCCCTGTTGAAGGTTTTACAGAAAAGCAGATTGACTTGGTTATTTTGAAGACAAGAGGCACCGGGCCAAGTTGATATTTATTCAAAGTTTCAGGTTTTCTTTTTAGCATGTACAGCTGAGTCATTAGCATACAAGAGCTAACTTTGACAACTATGCTAAATTAAGTCTTAGTCCTTGGACTCAAATGTCTTCTGGTTGTCATTTGTATTTAGTCGTTTTTGCACCTTATACATGTAGCCTAGTCTTAGTCAAAAAAAAAGTCATCACTTTAAATAATTATTTCTCACATTTCTTCATGCGAGTCTATAAATAACAGGGACTCTGTAACTTCTTTTTCACTCCAGTCTCCAAGAAACACCATGGAGGATCAAGACGACAATGACCAGATAGAGAAAGAAGTCAAAGAGGCTCTACAAATGGATGACCGAGCCTCAGCTGCTGCTAAGATCCAGCAGTATTTGGAGAGAGACAAAAACATTTCTCTAAATATTGCTGTCACAGGAGAGTCTGGCAGTGGAAAATCCACATTTGTTAATGCTATCAGAGGCGTAGATGATGATGACGAAGGAGCTGCACCCACTGGTTGTGTAGAAACCACCATGGAGGTTACATCATACCACCATCCAAACTATCCTAATGTCACAGTCTGGGATCTTCCTGGAATCGGCACCATGAAATTTCCAGCTGATAAGTACCTGGAGAAGGTTGAACTTGAAAAGTTTGACTTCTTCATCATCATCTCAGCTGATCGATTCACAGAATATGATGTGATGTTGGCAAAGGAGATCCAGAAGATGAAGAAGAAGTTCTACTTTGTCCGCTCCAAGATTGACGATAATATACGAAATGAAAAAAGGAAAAAGGCTTTTGATAAGGAGAAGACTCTCACAAAAATCAGGGACAAGTGCATCAAAGGTAGGTGATACCACAGACATAATTAGAAGACTAGATACGCCTGCCCACTAAGCGACTTGCCTATGAGGCAGCTATCGTAGCAGGGACATTTTTCCCATTAAAGGCATTAGATGTACATGGGAAATGTTTTATTTTAGTTTTTGAATCAAATGCTCTGCATTGATAGCACACGTTTTGGTGTTGACAATAAAGTCAACCTCATGAAAATCAGTTAAGAAATGAGCAGGATATGATTTATTGCTCATGTACATCTTATGCCTTTAAAGGGAAAGTTGCCCTTGCTAAGATGGCTGCCACGTAGGTATGCAGCTGAAAGGGGCATTTCGTATCTACTGTTCATATCTACGGGTGACACATCCTGATACAATATACTGCACAAAAAAAATGGAGGCCATGACTGTCCCAGGCTTATAAGCCAAAAACGAAAGCTCCCCCTGCTGACTAGCTGCAGTTAAGGTCATAACCTCAACTTTCATGTAAACAGAAAGGAGAGTCAAACTGAAATATATGAAGGTCTGACATCAGTCCAGTGAGGCCTCCAGCTAGGCTGCTTCAGAGCATTTCTTGGTTTCACCAGCCCAAATGTCAGCCTTCTTGAAGTCAGTCACAATTAGAAGAATAAAGTGACATTGTCCATAAATATTCTAAGATTCAAAGAACGTGCCTGTTTGCACTTAAAGACACCCTAGGTTTCAGTCAAGTTGATTTAGGGTCAGGGTCAGGGTCAGGGCACCATCTCTTTGATATCAAATATTTGAAAGCTTTCAGTTCATGGTTAATGAAAGCTCTCAGGCACTGTGCCCCTGGTTTTGTGGGCAGATCTACGATCCTGGTCTGATGAGAGGCTGTTATTGTTACTTCTTATCAAAGTGATGTCTTGTACTTTAGCCTTAATATTGATTTCTTTTTAATCAGACTTATTTTACTGTCTGTGGTGTTTCTTTGTGGATGTTAAGTCTCTTGACGTTTTGTTGCTTAAGTTTATGAAGAAGACAAAAAGAGGAACAACTTTCACGGTTGAGAGTACTTGAATTTTACAATCACAGCTATGATTAAAGCAGAGGTTCAAAATCCCACAGCACATGTGTTTACAGAGCTCTGCTGTGTCTGCAGTCAGGCACTCGTGGCAAAGTCCTGCAGGTTGGAATCAAACCTGCCATCTGTTCAGAGGACTACAGCCTCTGTACATAGGGCATGCACCTTCAATGCCCTGTATATCCATATTGTACTTCTTGTTTATCAGCCTATTTCTCTTTTGTGACACAGGTCTTCAAGAACAAGGTTTTGAGTCTCCTCAGGCTCAGGTCTTCCTGGTGTCCAACTTTGATCTCCACCGCTATGATTTCCCTCTGTTAGAGGACACTCTGGAGCGAGAACTTCCTAAACACAAGAGAGATGTCTTTATGTTAGCCATGCCCAACAGCAGCCTGGAGATGATCTCTAAGAAGAAGAAAGCTTTTCAAGCCAAGATTAAATACTTTGCAACTCTGTCTGCAGCTGTTGCAGGTTTGCCAGTTCCTGGTCTTTCTGTTGCAGTAGATATTGGCTTACTGGTCGGTCTTATTGCTCAGTATGTGTTTAGGTTTGGTCTTGACACCATGTCATTGAAGAAAGCATCCAGATACACAGGCGTTCCTGTCGATGAGCTGAAGAAAGTCATTGTGTCTCCAATGGCAGCAACAGAAGTGACTTCTGATCTTTTACTGAAGTTATTTTTAGATGGGGCCAGCACAGCCGCTAAACTGGCTGCAGAAGAAGGGTCCAAATTCATCCCCTTACTTGGGATCCCAGTATCAATGACTCTCTCATTTCTCTCAACCTACAAAGTGCTTGATACTTCTGTCAGCGGGCTTGCTGAGGATGCACAAAGAGTACTCAGTAAGGTCCTGAGTCTGAACGATGCAGAGTAATAATTCAGAGTGTTACCAACATTCTAAAGTAAGAGAAGAACTTCAGAAAGTTAGACGGGGGGTAGATTTGGATCAAAGAGGATCAAACACCCATATCAACAAGATTATCCAGTCCTGTTTCCTTCACCTGTGTTCTATTGCAAAAATTAAACAAATACTCACCCCTCCAGATCTCGAAAAAATAATAAACGCCTTAATTTTCCCAAGACTGGACTTTCTTAACTCTCTCCTCCCTGGTTTAATCAAGAAATCACTCTCCCACCTCCAGCTAGTTAAGAATGCAGCAGCTCGGCTTTTAACTGGTTTTAATAGACGGCATCACATCACTCCAATTTTAGCCTCCCTTCGCTGGTTTCCTGTCAGTTTTAGAATAGATTCAAAGATTTTATTGATTACTTTTAAAGCACTTAGAGGACTCGCGCCGAGCTACATTTCAGAGCTTTTAATACCTTATGAGCCAACTCGCAGCCTCAGATCCTCTGACGAAAGCCTCCTGGTCATTCCAAAGTCGAGGCTCAAAACTAAAGGCGATAGAGCTTTCTCCATCAGAGCTCCTCAACTTTGGAACGACCTGCCAGAGGAGATAGGCGTGCAGAGACAGTCATTTCTTTTAAGTCAAATTTAAACACTCACTTTTACAGACTTGCTTTTATGTGATGCAGTTTTTTAATCTTTTTAATCTTTTTCCTTTTATCTCTTTTACCTCTATCTTATTTCAACTTACTATGCTTTTAGCTTTTGTTTTGCTTATAATCTTTTCTTATTTTACCTTTTAGGTCTTTTATTGATTTTAATGCCTTTTTCTGCTCATTTATATTATTTCATTTTATCATTAATATTACCATCATTATTATTTTATTATGATATAACTATCATTATTAATATCCTCTTTTATACTTACTATCCTGTTTCCTGCTTTCTGCCCCCCTTTTCTATTTCATTTCTTCTTCTTACCTATTTTATGTTTTTATTTTGGTCCTCATGGTCTCATTTTATGTTGTAGGGTTCTTGTATTGCCTGGGTTTCCTATGTAAAATGAAGTTGGCCTTCAATTCGGAGGCCTTGTTTTTAACTGAGCTTTTGTTTTTATTTGCTTTTATTTCCATGTACTGATGTTCTGTGCTTTGCAACTGTTGTTGCAACCTCCTCACGTTAGCTCTACAACATTTTGCTCAAAAGCACACGAAGCTTGGTACTTTTTAGCTTTCAGACAAGCCTACACCTGACTCCTAGTCCCTTCCCTGAGCTTTTTTGTTGTTGTTGTTTCAGCCATTTCTTGATTTTTTAAAGATCGATGTGATTTATTCTTGTACTTTTTCTTTCTGATATTGTTTGTATTTATTTGTAAAACAGTGTTTAAGAGAGTGCCTTGAAACTGCTGCATAAATAAAGCTTTTCTCTCTGAATTTTAAGAGGTGCATTGTGTATGAGAGCAATATTCAAGGGCATCTAGAGGTCAGATTTAAGAATCACAGGAGGAATCTCACCAACCTCTCCTGTCACCGAGGCAACAGCGGCCATCGAGGACCAAAAGCTATTTACGGCATGTAGATGGCACCCAGGACCTGCGCACCCCCTCCGTGTTGGTGGTCAGGACCTCCATGGTCTGACATGAATTTGCATGGTGGCCGGACCTTCTGCCACCTGGGTGCCACTGTGAAGGAGGTTGAATCCTCCACCCTGCAGCTGAGCAAGAACATAACTTGGCCACCACGCTGGTGCTGCAGGCTGGCACCAACAACCTCAAAAAACAACAATCTGAGGTCCTCAAACAGGATTTCACCTTGCTTGTGGACTGCCTGCTGTACACCGAGAAGCATCTGGTAATCTCCGGCCCACTCCCATCACTTTTCACAGTGACGTCATTAGCAGCCACATTCGATCCAGGAGGGATCATGGCTTTTATCAGTTAACACCTAAAACTCAGCTGAAACTCTGTTTCTCTGGTACTATACGATGTATCTCTTTGGGATGAAAAGTGTTCAAAAGCTTACCCTCTTGGCAATCTATTTAGGGTTTACCGGGCATTTCTACACCTCCCACAAGGTTTACAATCCAGCCACAAAAATAGGTGTTTCATCAAAGACGTTTGATGGTAAATCCGTGGTGATATACTGGAGAAACCATGATTATTTATCATATTGTTGTGATAAAAAAGATCGCTAAATGCCGCTAATGACTTCCGGGTTTGACAAGCTGTTTTGATGACATCTTTTTCTATCAAACTTTTGACCAATTACATGGTCTCATATTCTTCTTCTACTGTTCCCTTGACGGTAGTGTCGAATAAGAGACAACCTAAGATCAACAAGAGACAAGAAAGTTCCCTGCTTGTCTGCAAAATAAGAAATGAGGTACTCAATGCTTGGAAAAAAGCAAGAAAGAGATTATAAGCAGTATGATGTAGCCCTCTGTCTCATCCCAGACAGGAACTGCTTCATTGAGTGGCATAAACAACTGTAAATAGCGAAAAAACACCTGGAAGAATTAGTGTGAATATGTAAAAAGTTTCTGTTGTGTGTTTGTTCCAATCCCAACATTTCTTCTCCTGATAGCCAAGACTTAACAGAATGATGTACAGGTGAGAAAAGGCTTGGTCACTGTAGATTTATGTGTTTTTTAAGCCAAGTACTGTTGGTATCAATATTTGTTTTTGTGTTTTGGTCGACTTTGATGGTTCTGAATCTACTGTCAGTCATTTTACATAATTTTTTCACCCATAAACTGACAGCTGAGGTTGTCCTGCAAAAAAAAGATGTGTATATATTTGCTGTGCTTGAAAGGATAGAGTTGCTACATAAACTTTTCCCAAAAAAAAAACAAAAAAAAAAAAACATGCAGACCAAAAAAAACAAAATACAGCTGGGAGTTCCAAGGGTTAACATGGACCTGACCCTCCGTTCCTGTACTGCAGCCACCTCCTGATAAGCTGTGATCATACAAACACACACACACACACACACACACACACACACACACACACACACACACACACACACACACACACACACGCACGCCCTCACTCCTTCACACCTCATACACCTCAACACCAACATCCCCACCACTCTCAATAGAAAAACAGGACACTCACGCCATCAAAACCATTATTTCATACAGAAAACTGAAACCAAGGACTGTTCCCCCCCCCCCCCCCCGGGGGTTTTAACATCCCCCTTATATCGAAGAATGAGCACATGTTCAGCACTGACATTAAAATAGCTGTGCTGAACATCTGCTCTCTTCTAAACAAATCTTTTATCATAAATGATTTAATTCTAGAAAAACAACTCGACTGTATCCTGCTTAATGAGACATGGCTTGGCACTGATGCACCTATTGTTCTCACTGAGGTTTCCCCCACAAATTTTAACTTTTTATTTTTTACGCGGGGAGGGGACTGCATCAATAACATGGTTCACAATGTCCCATTCTGCAGTTCCTTAGATAACTCAGAGGAGTTATCTATGTGTAAGTTAAAATCACTGGTTAAAACACCTGTAGGAGTTGTGTAAAACTGATAAAAATTCAGCAAATTCCCAGATAAAAGCAGTGCATTTCTTGGGTGGTGTGTATACTGTGACACACAGGATAGGAGGACTGCTAAAAACAATTGCACTGTACTCAAAAGTGGTATATTTATCAAATAAAACAGATTTGGTGGCCAGGGTGTTTGAGGTTAAAGCTGCTGTGCCACCTCCTCTTCTACCACACCTAACAGAAAATGCAAAGTTAAAATTAGGTGGGGAGGCCTCAGTGAGAACAACTGGTGTATCCGCACCCAGCCATGTTTCCGTTAAAAACAAACAGTCCAGTTTGTGGTCTAAAATCAGGTCACTGACAATAATAGACTTGTTCAGCAGAGAGCAGACGTTTAAAAGGGCCATTTTAATGGTAAGTGGCGGCTGGTTTACAAGGTGTTGTGGTGAGTGGGCTTTTGGAAGGGATCTGAGGTTATTGTATTTAGTGGTAGGATTATGGGTGATTTTCTGCATACGCTGCTCTCTGCTGATGATGGTCAGAATGCGAAATGTTGGACATGAGTTTGTTGGGGCCAGTGAGGAGTGAGTGACCACAAGGGGTACAGGGGCTGTCAAGAGTCATGCTTGTGTGGACAGAGTGTGGTAAAATATGTTTGATGTTAGCATCCGTGAACCAAAATTGTTTGGGTGCAACCCATCTCTTCTAAAGAAAGCAGAGCGTAGCCAGAATAAGTCAAAGTACGGAATAAGTATAAAATTTAGCGCTCTGCACTGAGTTTGAAGCCACTCATGCAGGCTCAGGAGCCTACTAAAGCGCCCCACTCCCCCGACCCAGTGTAGGAATTGGGCCTGCAGCAGTTCAAAGAGCTCAGTAAAATCCCTTTTTGTAACTTGGATGATTGCCGGCCTTTGTCATTTGTGCCGACATGGACAACAACCTTCACAGACGGGTGGTCTGCAAGGAGGCCAGGGATGACCTGGACTATGTGTTATACTTTAGCTCCCGGAAAAGAGAAAGTTACAGCCACCTTTGATGATATATTCCTCATAATAGACTCTCTGATAACTATTGTGGATGGAGGCGTCGTCGCGCAGGGCTCCTTATTGGACGCCAGCGGTGGATGTGCTGCTGCAGCCGGCGAGGGCCGCAGTAAGGGGTGCCCCAGTAGGCTCTATAAGTGTTTTCCCAGCCTTGACAGGGGAAACAGGTCCGGCAGAACCTCTTCTGGACACTGCCTCCCTCAACAGCCGGCTTCGAGAGGATGATAAGGATGTTGGGACCCGATTTCCCAGTTGTTGTTTTTTTTTTTTTTTGTTTGTTTGTTTTTTTGTGCTTACTCTAGTTTTATATCTCCACCATTCTGCAACCCGCTTACAAATTCCAGCAAACTGGGTGGCACTGCTTCCTTTTGTGATCCCAGTGTGGGATCTCCTGTAAATTCACTTTTGTGCTCAAGCATTTGTTTCCTTATTATCCTTGCAGCTTTCGTAAGAGTCAGTGCATCATTGTGTGTAAAAGCAGCTCCAACATCTTGCTTGTAGGCAAACCAGACTTCTTTCTCCTTGTCGAAATCCTCCAGCTCTGGTATACGTGCAAGAATTTGTTCCTTCAGTCTTGTACGATAAATGTAACAAGGATCAACATTCATTTGCTCAAGACGTTTTGTGTACAAGTTATACAAGTCCACCAATTTGAAGTGGCAACATCCTTCTGTTTTCATACGTTTTTCTCTGATGAATACTTCAAGCTCAGCAAAACCATAAGCATACGCCTCTTGATTATGTTATGCTTCATTGGGGTCCTTTTTTTGTGAGCTTAACCAAGCTCTTTCTCTGTTGTACACCTGTGTTTAGCATTTGGCATGATACTTATAGCCTTGGGAAACTAAGTCCCCAACACTGAGCTTTGCCAGAAGGTTGTCATCAAAAGCAAGTTTTCTGCACATCTCTGCAGCTTGGCATGCAGTGGCATCGTCATGGCTTGTCGCAGATTCTTAATTTTTTCTGACTGGTTACATATGAAACACTCTCCATCTTCTTTTTCATCTTCTTCTTCTTCACCCTTCTCCACTGATATGGAAGCTGACTTCCTTTTTCCTTTCCAATCTGGCAGTTTTAAACTTAAGCTGGCATAATGCATGATACCTAGCTTTGTTACGCTCAAGTGTCAACTGAATTCCATCACCATCATCAAGTCGCTTTGGGTCAAAGAGAATTGGCATGCAGTACATTTTGTGAAATTCGGGAATATTGTTAGCCAATGTCAGATAACCACTGCCTGTTGCATTAGTTAACCTTTCACTGATGTTTTGTTGGCACAAACAGCATAATTCCCAATTGGTTGGACTAGATGCAGGCCTACTATCTGCCTGTGACGAAGGCGTGGAGGGTATTTCTGTCTGTGTGTCCATTGCTGTTGTCTAGGCTGAGGGATTATCCTTAAATACCACCTATTAAAGACAACTTTAATACTACTCTACACTTTAAAGTATGGGATACAACTGGGCTCAGATAATAACAAGCTCACTATCCCAGCCCAATCATTCATCCAATGCTATTTGATTCCTGTGTGATCTGTACACCTTCCAGAAGACTAAAGCCCCATCTTCCTTGGCTCGGCTCTCCCGCGCTGGCACATCCTGTCAATTCAGGTGCGGCTGTTTAACTTTAACTTGGGGCAAGCTAAACAGCATTTAGGAAACTAGACAATTTAGTTAGACAAATTTACTAGCTAGCATTGAACCCCATGCTGAGTCTCACAGCTATAGTTTCAACCAGTGTGCCCTGGTAGTGTAATGACACTACACAATATATTATTGATTTGTCATGTTATATGGTGTGGCCATTTTTAAAACAAATATGGCCTTTCATAATAGCTCATGTCTATGACATATAAATAACCCTGATCTATTATGAATAAATATATGACAAACTTCATAACGGTAGTTAGAGGGTCTTTTTATGCACAGCTGAGCTCTCACTTATAGGGTGAAAATTGCGTTTATCTGGTAAAATGACTTTGTTTTCTTTTCTAATACATTGAAATTGAGTCTTTTATTCAGTCAGAAGGCTTGGAGAAGCGAGATTTCCTTTATTTTGCATTCTTTACGACATTACTTACCGCTTTCTCCTCCTAACTTTAGACCTGCTCAGCCCCAAAGTTGTAGCATGTCTCGTCACCAAGCTTCATGATGTGCTCACTCTCCATCTCTGCAGAAACAGAGACACGCTCGTCTACACATGCTCACATGCATCTAAGGGGTATTTTTTACACTCCTGAAATATAACTGGAGGATTTAGCCATGCTGAATATTAATGGATACTTGCATTACGCACGCAATAGTCCACCAAATAGAACCACGTGATGCAGCAAAAAGAGGTCCGTTCAGATCAGCGGCCTCCTTTTTTGAAGTAAAACACACGAGAGATCAGTTATCATAAGATTCTGACTGATAATGTCTGTGTGTGGTGAGATTTGGCGAAATAATAAAGCTACGCTGCTGTGCGTAAAAGTTCAATTCTATCTTTTTGCAGTTGAGGTCCTCTGCAAGTCAGACCGTCCAGGTCAGATTGTTCAGCAGGTTAGCTACTATAGCACAGGTTAGAGCTTTACAGTAGGCCTAAATATGGGCTAAAATCCCAGCTCAGAGTATGCAATGGAACCCATGGCTTTGCCCTGAAGGAGAAATGACCTCTCTCTCCATGGAGCCAGAGCAAGGAGGCAGCGGTGTGACACCTGGAGTCTCCTGTGTTGGTGCCACTTTTCATCCAAATGAAAGCATAGTGACAGCAGCCTTAAGGGAACCACAGTGGTGGCAGCGGCAGGTGCAACCATCTGCCTTTCCGAAAGAGAAGGAAGAAGCGAAGGATGTCGTCCACCCGCTGTGACGACGGACAAGCCATCATGGTGACAGCATTGAGAGACATCCCGAGAAAGAGTGTGCTCTCGATGGCACCCTTGTCAAGGAGGATGGACAAATCCTGGCTGAGGGCCTGGGCTTTTGTCGGGTTGCATATGATGGTCATCTTGACCCAGTCACAGGTTGGGGGCCGGTGTCGGAACTGAAGTTTGTACCCATGGGTCAAGGTGGAAAGCGCCCAAGGGTCCCTGGTGGAAGCAGCCCAATAGTTATGCTGCTGCTGGGAAAAACAGCCGACGACCGGCCCCTGGGCCTCAGCACCAGGTCCCCCGGCCTCTAGAGGCTCAGGGGGGTACGACAGGCAGCGTGTGACACCTGAGGTTGCTCAAAGGCCAGTCACCCTGGGCCCTGAAAGTCCTGCGCCTGCTGCTGAGCAGGCTGTGGATGTGGGGGCTGAGGTCTGAGGTAGCCAATGGGATAGGCTTGCAGATGAGAGCAATGCTGGGGAGCAGTGGAAGAACTCCTAAGCCTGCTGGGAGGAGGAAGATCTGAAAGCTGTTGTCTTGTCTGTCTGACTTGGACTGTGCGCTCAAGCACCTCCAGAGCCGCAGAGCCAAAAAGCTCTCCAGGTTCCACTGGAACACTGCGGAGGGTTCTCCTGCATGCCTCTATGAGAGGAGACTGTGCCAGCCAAACCTGGCAGCAAGCTTAAACAAGTGTGGATATCAGCCACCCAAGTTCTCTAGATATCAGTGCTAATGCTTGTAATGAAGCGTCGCTGAAGCTGTGGATGGAAGGACCCACCGTAGCCTCCTGCAGGGATGCTGATAGCGCAAGCAGCAGGTTGGACATAGAATTACCTATGCGTCACATGCGCACTGCTTTATCATAAGCTCTGGAAAGCAGGTCGTCCACAACCCGACACTGGGTACGAGGACACCTAGCATCCGGTCTCAAAGCTTCGTCAGGGGAGACAATTAAGCAGCTATAGTTGGCTCAATTGCTGACATGCGACTCAAGCCAAACTTGGGTGCATCCTGCACAGCTGCCAGGGCCTAGCGCTCAGATGTTGCATGGGAGAGGGCTCTAGAGTCCCTCCAGCAAGCATGCAGCTCCTTCATATAGTCCTCTAATGGGGGCACAGTTAATTTAGCGGGGCCCAACCACGCCTGAAGAAGGCACTAGCCGGAGTCAACTGGGCTTGTGGTAAATCCAACTGTAGACGGGCCAGGGCCATACGAATGATAGCTCCCACTGAACCATAACATAAGCGGTACAAATGCTGGGAGAGGAAGGGAGGTCACTGTCTTCACCAACAATTGAAACTAGGGCCCCGTTGGGGCACTGGCGGGCCCGAGCCGTGTCGCGCTCCCCCCCCCAACGCGCTGCCTCCCCGTCCCATTCGCGTCCTCTGGCCATCGCCCTCTCTGGTAACGCCCATCACTGCAAAGACCCTTTTCCTTCATCTGCATTTGCTGTTCTTCCTGCCAGTGTGTGTTGCTTTCACTTACACTTGCCACAGCCAGCCTTAGGAGGAGTTAGCCACATTTCAATGTGTGCGGATCAGCAAAAAATGCGGAATAACCCTTTAACCGTACATTTGACAGATACGTGCGCATTGACTTTTTCGTAGATCTTATTGAGATACATGTGTGTGTCAATTTTTGTGTCATTTTGCCAAAGCGTACAGGCGTGACACTCAACAATGTGTATTTTCACCTTAGGGGACAAGAAAAAATGGACTTTTTTCTCCTGCCATGGGGGGGCGCTCTTTTGGGGAGTAAAAATTCCTTCACAAATTTGTTGATGGCTGGACATTGCATCATCCTAGAAAACTTGGAGGCCAGTGAGGACAAAAATAAAAAGTTATAAGACTTTTAAATATGTGGATTTTAGGGTTATTTTTGGCGCCCCCTAGAACCTAAACCGTGGGGTGCAGCGTCATGATTTGAATAACTTTTAATGGCCATGGGGTGTTGATTGGCCTGAGCAAATGTGGTGCCGGTGGAACCAAAGCCTTCGGAGGAGTTAGCGAAATTCCAATGTGTGCGTATCGGCAAAAAATGCGGAATAACCCTTTAACCGTACATTTGACAGATACGCGCTCATAGACTTTTTTGTAGATCTTATTGAGATACATGTGTGTGTCAATTTTTGTGTCATTTTGCCAAAGCGTACAGGCGTGACACTCAACAATGTGTATATTCACCTTAGGGGACAAGAAAAAATTGACTTTTTTCTCCTGCCATGGGGGGGCGCTCTTTTGGGGAGTAAAAATTCCTTCACAAATGTGTTGATGGCTGGACATTGCATCATCCTAGAAAACTTGGAGGCCAGTGAGGACAAAAATAAAAAGTTATAAGACTTTTAAATATGTGGATTTTAGTGTTATCTTTGGCGCCCCCTAGAACCTAAACCGTGGGGTGCAGCGTCATGATTTGAATAACTTCTAATGGCCATGGGGTGTAGATTGGCCTGAGCAAATGTGGTGCCGGTGGAACGAAAGCCTTCGGAGGAGTTAGCGAAATTCCAATGTGTGCGGATCGGCAAAAAATGCGAAATAACCCTTTAACCGTAATTTTGACAGATACGGCTGCACTGACTTTTTTGTAGATCTTATTGAGATACATATGTGTGTCAATTTTTGTGTCAATATGACAAAGCGTACAGGCGTGACAATCAATAGTGTGAATTTCCACCTTAGGGGGCGCTATGGAGCCATTTTGCATTTTATTGTTTGGGCGACTTCAGAATATCGAATTTTTCACCAGGCCCGGTCGTCCTGCCAAATTTCATGAGTTTTCGCCAGTGGGAAGTGGGCCATTTTCCAGTTCAAAGGGGAGGAAAAAGAAGAAAGAAAGAAAGAACTAGGACCCCGTTGGGGCACTGGCGGGCCCGAGCCGTGTCGCGTCCCCCCCCAACGTGCTGCCTCCCCGTCCCATTTGTGTCCTCTGGCCATCGCCCTCTCTGGTAACGCCCATCACTGCAAAGACCCTTTTCCTTCATCGGCGTTTGCTGTTCTTCTTGCCAGTGCGTGTTGCTTTCACTTACACTTGCCACAGCCAGCCTCGTGAGTGCCTAGCCTATTGGATATCACTGTCACCTACACAGGACAGTCATTACCTTTCTATTAATACTTTGTGTTTTAATTTCACATTAATTTCCATATTGTATAAACGACTGGAAAAAACTTGAGCCCCTGCCCCTGTATAATCATGTGCATGTCTCTGTTCTAGCTCCAAAGTGAATCTTCACTGCTCATGTTCTCCTCAGAAGCACTCACCTCACTCCCCTCAGGTTACTGTACACATGCACCAACTGCCTGCTTCAGGTTTGGATGGAGCTTCATGGTTGTCTTTTGGAGAAATGACCAGTCAAGTTGTGTTTGAAATTTGATTTTTTTCAGGGGCAAAAGGAGCCTCTGCATTCTTGTCAAATATGTAAATAGCATGTTTTTGCAGGTGCTAAAAACCAGACTCTGAGTGTGTGTGTGTGTGTGTGTGTGTGTGTGTGTGTGTGTGCGTGTGTGTGTGTCTGTGTGTGCGTTCAAGTCACATGACATATTTAACCGGATGTAGCTGCAAGACGGAGCCTCGTTGACTCTCCGTTTCAACTTATCTCAAAAGTGAGGACCTCAACCTTTTAACCAGTTTTTAAATTGTGTTGATAGGCCAAATAAAACCAGAGTTATGATCAATTATGTCCGCGATACTTTTTTTCTGCTTATTTTGATCACGTTCGGCGCTCGATCGCGCTGTATGAGACAGGAAAACATAGCATGCAGACATTAGCGACAGGTCTTACAGGCGGAAAAGGCTTGCCAAAAGAAAAAAAAAACACACCACAACATCTCTCCTATTGGTGGAAAACTTCACCACAACAACCAATCCAAAATTATATGGTGACTGATTGACAAGGGGCGGGTGCTTACGTTCTTCCTGCAACATGAGAAGCGAGGGAGGGACTCTCAGCAGGGATGCAGTCTGGGACACGTAGTTGCAAACCTAGCGACTTTGTTGTTAGATTCAATGACTTTTCAGACCCCCTAACGACTTCTTTTTTTAGAAAGAAAGGGACTTTTATCGACTTCTTCTGGAGTTTAGAGACTCTGACATGAAGCAGGCTTTCCTTACTGAGGAGTTAGCAACGCTGCTAAGGGTGCAGAGCCACACATGCGCTCAGAGCTCTGCATGGGAGACTGAAGCTGACAGAGCTGCAGCAGTTAGCAGGTTTCACCCTCAGAGACCACCAGGGGTTCATGTTGAGGCATTTTAATTTTTTTTTTTTTTGTGCCATAGACACTGTCAGCACAATCTGCAGTTACACTAACAAAAATGCTGCAAAAAACAAAGAATTATGGAAAAATTACACATGGACTGACATAGAGGAGGATCTAGTTTTTTACATCATGTTTTACATCATGCATCATTTACATCATGTTTTTTTGTAGTGGCATAAATAAAAAGTGACATTTGTGAGACTATACAGTGTTTTGTAAATAATTTTACAAAGAACGCCTGGGCCATTGCCTGCATTTTGATGTAAATAGAGGTAAATCACTATGTTCTTTGTTAAAAATTTGCATATGTTTTGAAGTTTACAATTTTTATTTGAAGTTTAAGTTTTAAAAACAGTTCATCACACATATTTGTGGTTTTCACAGTAAAAATGTTACTTTTTTCCACTCGGATTTTATGTTTTGTGTGTGAATTTGGGTCCATTGTGTAAATTCAGTATGTCAACATGATAAAATAACTGTAAATTCGCACAGGTGAGGTTGTGCTGAAAAAAATGATACCAGGCAAGGCACGTGATTGTCAAATTTTGTGTCAATATGACAAAGCGTATAGGCGTGAATCTCAACAATATGTATTTTCACCTTAGGGGACAAGAAAAAATGGACTTTTTTCTCCTGCCATGGGGGGCGCTCTTTTGGGGAGTAAAAATTCCTTCACAAATGTGTTGATGGCTGGACATTGCATCATCCTAGAAAACTTGGAGGCCAGTGAGGACAAAAATAAAAAGTTATAAGACTTTTAAATATGTGGATTTTAGGGTTATCTTTGGCGCCCCCTAGAACCTAAACCGTGGGGTGCAGTGTCATGATTTGAATAACTTTTAATGGCCATGGGGTGTAGATTGGCCTGAGCAAATGTGGTGCCGGTGGAACGAAAGCCTTAGGAGGAGTTAGCCACATTCCAATGTGTGCGGATCGGCAAAAAATGCGGAATAACCCTTTAACCGTACATTTGACAGATACGCGCGCATTGACTTTTTCGTAGATCTTATTGAGTTACATGCGCATGTCAATTTTTGTGTCATTTTGACAAAGCGTATAGGCGTGACACTCAACAATGTGTATTTTCACCTTAGGGGACAAGAAAAAATGGACTTTTTTCTCCTGCCATGGGGGGGCGCTCTTTTGGGGAGTAAAAATTCCTTCACAAATGTGTTGATGGCTGGACATTGCATCATCCTAGAAAACTTGGAGGCCAGTGAGGACAAAAATAAAAAGTTATAAGACTTTTAAATATGTGGATTTTTGGGTTATCTTTGGCGCCCCCTAGAACCTAAACCGTGGGGTGCAGTGTCATGATTTGAATAACTTTTAATGGCCATGGGGTGTAGATTGGCCTGAGCAAATGTGGTGCCGGTGGAACGAAAGCCTTCGGAGGAGTTAGCGAAATTCCAATGTGTGCGGATCGGCAAAAAATGCGAAATAACCCTTTAACCGTAATTTTGACAGATACGGCCGCACTGACTTTTTTGTAGATCTTATTGAGATACATATGTGTGTCAATTTTTGTGTCAATATGACAAAGCGTACAGGCGTGACAGTCAATAGTGTGAATTTCCACCTTAGGGGGCGCTATGGAGCCATTTTGCATTTTATTGTTTGGGCGACTTCAGAATATCGAATTTTTCACCAGGCCCGGTCGTCCTGCCAAATTTCATGAGTTTTCGCCAGTGGGAAGTGGGCCATTTTCCAGTTCAAAGGGGAGGAAAAAGAAGAACTAGGGCCCCGTTGGGGCACTGGCGGGCCCGAGCCGCGTTGCGCCGCCCCCAGTGCGACCGCCTCCCCCTCCCGATCGCGTCACACTCAAGGTCCAAAGATGGTGTGCGCACTTGTCTGTGGTCATTTCCCATTATAATGAATGGGAGGCGCAGTTTCTACCAAAACACTCGCTGCAGACAAACTACATGTCCTATTTGAAAAAAGTCTGGACCATGAGTGAGGGCACAAACACAGCTAGGATATATCCAAACGGCAAGTTGCTCCTCGTTACGGTGTTGCCGGGAGAGCGATGCGATTGAGCCATTGAGTGATGGGCAGGAAAAACTTGACTGTTTCTCCTGCCATGGGGGATGGGGGATGGGGGATGGGGGGGGGGATGTGGATTCTTTTAAGAATGTGGATATTTGGGTCATCTTTGGCGCCCCCTAGAACGTAAACCGTGGGGTGCAGCGTCATGATTTTTAAAACTTTGAATGGCCATGGGGTGTAGATTGGCCTGAGCAAATTTGGTGTCAGTGGGACGAAAGCCTTAGGAGGAGTTAGCGAAATTCCAATGTGTGCGAATCGGCAAAAAATGCAAAATAGCCCTTTTACCGTACATTATACAGATACGCGCTCTTTGACTTTTTCGTAGATCTAATTGAGATACACATGATTGTCAATTTTTGTGTCATTTTGCCAAAGCGTACAGGCGTGACAGTCAACAATGTGTATTTTCACCTTAGGGGACAAGAAAAAATGGACTTTTTTCTCCTGCCATGGGGGGCGCTCTTTTAGGGAGTAAAAATTCCTTCACAAATGTGTTAATGGCTGGACATTGCATCATCCTAGAAAACTTGGAGGCCAGTGAGGACAAAAATAAAAAGTTATAAGACTTTTAAAAATGTGGATTTTTGGGTTATCTTTGGCGCCCCCTAGAACGTAAACCGTGGGGTGCAGCGTCATGATTTGAATAACTTTTAATGGCCATGGGGTGTAGATTGGCCTGAGCAAATGTGGTGCCGGTGGAACGAAAGCCTTCGGAGGAGTTAGCGAAATTCCAATGTGTGCGGATCGGCAAAAAATGCGAAATAACCCTTTAACCGTACATTAGACAGATACGCGCGCATGGACTTTTTTGTAGATCTTATTGAGATACATGTGTGTGTCAATTTTTGTGTCATTTTGACAAAGCGTACAGGCGTGACAGTCAATAGTGTGAATTTTCACCTTAGGGGACAAGAAAAAATGGACTTTTTTCTCCTGCCATGGGGGGGCGCTCTTTTGGGGAGTAAAAATTCCTTCACAAATGTGTTGATGGCTGGACATTGCATCATCCTAGAAAACTTGGAGGCCAGTGAGGGCAAAAATAAAAAGTTATAAGACTTTTAAATATGTGGATTTTAGGGTTATCTTTGGCGCCCCCTAGAACCTAAACCGTGGGGTGCAGCGTCATGATTTGAATAACTTTTAATGGCCATGGGGTGTAGATTGGCCTGAGCAAATGTGGTGCCGGTGGAACGAAAGCCTTCGGAGGAGTTAGCGAAATTCCAATGTGTGCGGATCGGCAAAAAATGCGAAATAACCCTTTAACCGTACATTTGACAGATACGCCCGCACTGACTTTTTTGTAGATCTTATTGAGATACATGTGTGTGTCAATTTTTGTGTCATTTTGACAAAGCGTACAGGCGTGACAGTCAATAGTGTGAATTTTCACCTTAGGGGGCGCTATGGAGCCATTTTGCATTTTCTTGTTTGGGCGACTTCGGAATATCAAATTTTTCACCAGGCCCGGTCGTCCTGCCAAATTTCATGAGTTTTCGCCAGTGGGAAGTGGGCCATTTTCCAGTTCAAAGGGGAGGAAAAAGAAGAAAGAAAGAAACAACTAGGGCCCCGGTGGGGCACTGTCGGGCCCGAGCCGCGTTGCGCCGCCCCCGGCGCGACCGCCCCCCCCTCCCGATCGCGTCACACTCAAGGTCCAAAGATGGTGTGCGCACTTGTCTGTGGTCATTTCCCATTATAATGAATGGGAGGCGCAGTTTCTACCAAACACTCGCTGCAGACAAACTACATGTCCTATTTGAAGAAAGTCTGGACCATGAGTGGGTCCACAAACACAGCTAGGATATATCCAAACGGCAAGTTGCTCCTCGTTACGGTGTTGCCAGGAGAGCGATGCGATTGAGCCATTGAGGGATGGGCAGGAAAAACTTGACTGTTTCTCCTGCCATGGGGGATGGGGGATGGGGGGGGGGGGGGGGGATTCTTTTAAGAATGTGGATATTTAGGTCATCTTTGGCGCCCCCTAGAACGTAAACCGTGGGGTGCAGCGTCATGATTTTTACAACTTTGAATGGCCATGGGGTGTAGATTGGCCTGAGCAAATTTGGTGTCAGTGGGACGAAAGCCTTAGGAGGAGTTAGCCACATTCCAATGTGTGCGAATCGGCAAAAAATGCGGAATAACCCTTTAACCGTACATTTTACAGATACGTGGCCATTGACTTTTTCGAAGATCTTATTGAAATACACGTGTATGTCAAATTTTGTGTCATTTTGACAAAGCGCACAGGCGTGGCACTCTACAATGTGTATTTTCACCTTAGGGGACAAGAAAAAATGGACTTTTTTCTCCTGCCATGGGGGGGCGCTCTTTTGGGGAGTAAAAATTCCTTCACAAATGTGTTGATGGCTGGACATTGCATCATCCTAGAAAACTTGGAGAACAGTGAGGACAAAAATAAAAAGTTATAAGACTTTTAAATATGTGGATTTTAGGGTTATCTTTGGCGCCCCCTAGAACCTAAACCGTGGGGTGCAGCATCATGATTTGAATAACTTTTAATGGCCATGGGGTGTAGATTGGCCTGAGCAAATGTGGTGCCGGTGGAACGAAAGCCTTAGGAGGAGTTAGCCACATTCCAATGTGTGCGGATCGGCAAAAAATGCGGAATAGCCCTTTAACCGTACATTTGACAGATACGCGCGCATTGACTTTTTCGTAGATCTTATTGAGATACATGTGTGTGTCAATTTTTGTGTCATTTTGCCAAAGCGTACAGGTGTTACACTCAACAATGTGTATTTTCACCTTAGGGGACAAGAAAAAATGGACTTTTTTCTCCTGCCATGGGGGGGCGCTCTTTTGGGGAGTAAAAATTCCTTCACAAATGTGTTGATGGCTGGACATTGCATCATCCTAGAAAACTTGGAGGCCAGTGAGGGCAAAAATAAAAAGTTATAAGACTTTTAAATATGTGGATCTTAGGGTTATCTTTGGCGCCCCCTAGAACCTAAACCGTGGGGTGCAGCATCATGATTTGAATAACTTTTAATGGCCATGGGGTGTAGATTGGCCTGAGCAAATGTGGTGCCGGTGGAACGAAAGCCTTCGGAGGAGTTAGCGAAATTCCAATGTGTGCGGATCGGCAAAAAATGCGAAATAACCCTTTAACCGTACATTTGACAGATACGCCCGCACTGACTTTTTTGTAGATCTTATTGAGATACATGTGTGTGTCAATTTTTGTGTCATTTTGACAAAGCGTACCGGCGTGACAGTGAATAGTGTGAATTTTCACCTTAGGGGGCGCTATGGAGCCATTTTGCATTTTCTTGTTTGGGCGACTTCGGAATATCAAATTTTTCACCAGGCCCGGTCGTCCTGCCAAATTTCATGAGTTTTCGCCAGTGGGAAGTGGGCCATTTTCCAGTTCAAAGGGGAGGAAAAATAATAATAATAACAAAAGAAGGAAACTACAGGAACAAGAGGGCTCTCGCAGCTGCTTAGCAGCTACGCTCGGGCCCTAAAGAAAAACCCCTACAGGAATAACAGGGCCTACGCCCGGCTGCTCTGCAGCTGGCTCGGGCCCTAAAGAAAGAACTAGGACCCCGTTGGGGCACTGGCGGGCCCGAGCCGTGTCGCGTCCCCCCCCCCAACGTGCTGCCTCCCCGTCCCATTTGTGTCCTCTGGCCATCGCCCTCTCTGGTAACGCCCATCACTGCAAAGACCCTTTTCCTTCATCGGCGTTTGCTGTTCTTCCTGCCAGTGCGTGTTGCTTTCACTTACACTTGCCACAGCCAGCCTCGTGAGTGCCTAGCCTATTGGATATCACTGTCACCTACACAGGACAGTCATTACCTTTCTATTAATACTTTGTGTTTTAATTTCACATTAATTTCCATATTGTATAAACGACTGGAAAAAACTTGAGCCCCTGCCCCTGTATAATCATGTGCATGTCTCTGTTCTAGCTCCAAGGTGAATCTTCACTGCTCATGTTCTCCTCAGAAGCACTCACCTCACTCCCCTCAGGTTACTGTACACATGCACCAACTGCCTGCTTCAGGTTTGGATGGAGCTTCATGGTTGTCTTTTGGAGAAATGAGCAGTCAAGTTGTGTTTGAAATTTGATTTTTTTCAGGGGCAAAAGGAGCCTCTGCATTCTTGTCAAATATGTAAATAGCATGTTTTTGCAGGTGCTAAAAACCAGACTCTGAGTGTGTGTGTGTGTGTGTGTGCGTGTGTGTGTGTCTGTGTGTGCGTTCAAGTCACATGACATATTTAACCGGATGTAGCTGCAAGACGGAGCCTCGTTGACTCTCCGTTTCAACTTATCTCAAAAGTGAGGACCTCAACCTATATACCAGTTTTTAAATTGTGTTGATAGGCCAAATAAAACCAGAGTTATGATAAATTATGTCCGCGATACTTTTTTTCTGCTTATTTTGATCACGTTCGGCGCTCGATCGCGCTGTATGAGACAGGAAAACATAGCATGCAGACATTAGCGACAGGTCTTACAGGCGGAAAAGGCTTGCCAGAAGAAAAAAAAAACACACCACAACATCTCTCCTATTGGTGGAAAACTTCACCACAACAACCAATCCAAAATTATATGGTGACTGATTGACAAGGGGAGGGCGCTTACGTTCTTCCTGCAACATGAGAAGCGAGGGAGGGACTCTCAGCAGGGATGCAGTCTGGGACACGTAGTTGCAAACCTAGCGACTTTGTTGTTAGATTCAATGACTTTTCAGACCCCCCTAACGACTTTTTTTTTTAGAAAGAAAGGGAATTTTATCAACTTCTTCTGGAGTTTAGAGACTCTGACATGAAGCAGGCTTTCCTTACTGAGGAGTTAGCAACGCTGCTAAGGGTGCAGAGCCACACATGCGCTCAGAGCTCTGCATGGGAGACTGAAGCTGACAGAGCTGCAGCAGTTAGCAGGTTTCACCCTCAGAGACCACCAGGGGTTCATGTTGAGGCATTTTAATTTTTTTTTTTTTGTGCCATAGACACTGTCAGCACAATCTGCAGTTACACTAACAAAAATGCTGCAAAAAACAAAGAATTATGGAAAAATTACACATGGACTGACATAGAGGAGGATCTACACAAGTTTTTTACATCATGTTTTACATCATGCATCATTTACATCATGTTTTTTTGTAGTGGCATAAATAAAAAGTGACATTTGTGAGACTATACAGTGTTTTGTAAATAATTTTACAAAGAACGCCTGGGCCATTGCCTGCATTTTGATGTAAATAGAGGTAAATCACTATGTTCTTTGTTAAAAATTTGCATATGTTTTGAAGTTTACAATTTTTATTTGAAGTTTAAGTTTTAAAAACAGTTCATCACACATATTTGTGGTTTTCACAGTAAAAATGTTACTTTTTTCCACTCGGATTTTATGTTTTGTGTGTGAATTTGGGTCCATTGTGTAAATTCAGTATGTCAACATGATAAAATAACTGTAAATTCGCACAGGTGAGGTTGTGCTGAAAAAAAGGATACCAGGCAAGGCACGTGATTGTCAAATTTTGTGTCAATATGACAAAGCGTATAGGCGTGAATCTCAACAATATGTATTTTCACCTTAGGGGACAAGAAAAAATGGACTTTTTTCTCCTGCCATGGGGGGGCGCTCTTTTGGGGAGTAAAAATTCCTTCACAAATGTGTTGATGGCTGGACATTGCATCATCCTAGAAAACTTGGAGGCCAGTGAGGACAAAAATAAAAAGTTATAAGACTTTGAAATATGTGGATTTTAGGGTTATCTTTGGCGCCCCCTAGAACCTAAACCGTGGGGTGCAGCGTCATGATTTGAATAACTTTTAATGGCCATGGGGTGTAGATTGGCCTGAGCAAATGTGGTGCCGGTGGAACGAAAGCCTTCGGAGGAGTTAGCGAAATTCCAATGTGTGCGGATCGGCAAAAAATGCGGAATAACCCTTTAACCGTACATTTGACAGATACGCGCGCATTGACTTTTTCGTAGATCTTATTGAGTTACATGTGTGTGTCAATTTTTGTGTCATTTTGACAAAGCGTATAGGCGTGACACTCAACAATGTGTATTTTCACCTTAGGGGACAAGAAAAAATGGACTTTTTTCTTCTGCCATGGGGGGGCGCTCTTTTGGGGAGTAAAAATTCCTTCACAAATGTGTTGATGGCTGGACATTGCATCATCCTAGAAAACTTGGAGGCCAGTGAGGACAAAAATAAAAAGTTATAAGACTTTGAAATATGTGGATTTTAGGGTTATCTTTGGCGCCCCTAGAACCTAAACCGTGGGGTGCAGCATCATGATTTGAATAACTTTTAATGGCCATGGGGTGTAGATTGGCCTGAGCAAATGTGGTGCCGGTGGAACGAAAGCCTTAGGAGGAGTTAGCCACATTCCAATGTGTGCGGATCGGCAAAAAATGCGGAATAACCCTTTAACCGTACATTTGACAGATACGCGCGCATTGACTTTTTCGTAGATCTTATTGAGTTACATGTGTGTGTCAATTTTTGTGTCATTTTGACAAAGCGTATAGGCGTGACACTCAACAATGTGTATTTTCACCTTAGGGGACAAGAAAAAATGGACTTTTTTCTTCTGCCATGGGGGGGCGCTCTTTTGGGGAGTAAAAATTCCTTCACAAATGTGTTGATGGCTGGACATTGCATCATCCTAGAAAACTTGGAGGCCAGTGAGGACAAAAATAAAAAGTTATAAGACTTTGAAATATGTGGATTTTAGGGTTATCTTTGGCGCCCCCTAGAACCTAAACCGTGGGGTGCAGCGTCATGATTTGAATAACTTTTAATGGCCATGGGGTGTAGATTGGCCTGAGCAAATGTGGTGCCGGTGGAACGAAAGCCTTAGGAGGAGTTAGCCACATTCCAATGTGTGCGGATCGGCAAAAAATGCGGAATAACCCTTTAACCGTACATTTGACAGATACGCGCGCATTGACTTTTTCGTAGATCTTATTGAGTTACATGTGTGTGTCAATTTTTGTGTCATTTTGACAAAGCGTATAGGCGTGACACTCAACAATGTGTATTTTCACCTTAGGGGACAAGAAAAAATGGACTTTTTTCTTCTGCCATGGGGGGGCGCTCTTTTGGGGAGTAAAAATTCCTTCACAAATGTGTTGATGGCTGGACATTGCATCATCCTAGAAAACTTGGAGGCCAGTGAGGACAAAAATAAAAAGTTATAAGACTTTGAAATATGTGGATTTTAGGGTTATCTTTGGCGCCCCCTAGAACCTAAACCGTGGGGTGCAGCGTCATGATTTGAATAACTTTTAATGGCCATGGGGTGTAGATTGGCCTGAGCAAATGTGGTGCCGGTGGAACGAAAGCCTTCGGAGGAGTTAGCGAAATTCCAATGTGTGCGGATCGGCAAAAAATGCGAAATAACCCTTTAACCGTAATTTGGACAGATACGGCCGCACTGACTTTTTTGTAGATCTTATTAAGATACATATGTGTGTCAATTTTTGTGTCAATATGACAAAGCGTACAGGCGTGACAGTCAATAGTGTGAATTTCCACCTTAGGGGGCGCTATGGAGCCATTTTGCATTTTATTGTTTGGGCGACTTCAGAATATCGAATTTTTCACCAGGCCCGGTCGTCCTGCCAAATTTCATGAGTTTTCGCCAGTGGGAAGTGGGCCATTTTCCAGTTCAAAGGGGAGGAAAAAGAAGAAAGAAAGAAAGAAAGAAACAAAGAAAAACCACTTGGGGAATAATAGGGCCTACGCCCGGCTGCTCTGCAGCTGGCTCGGGCCCTAAAGAAAGAAAGAAAGAAAGAAAGAAACAAAGAAAAACCACTTGGGGAATAATAGGGCCTACGCCCGGCTGCTCTGCAGCTGGCTCGGGCCCTAACTAGGGCCCCGGTGGGGCACTGTCGGGCCCGAGCCGCGTCGCGCCGCCCCCAGCGCGACCGCCTCCCCCTCCCGATCGCGTCACACTCAAGGTCCAAAGATGGTGTGCGCACTTGTCTGTGGTCATTTCCCATTATAATGAATGGGAGGCGCAGTTTCTACCAAAACACTCGCTGCAGACAAACTTCATGTCCTATTTGAAAAAAGTCTGGACCATGAGTGAGGGCACAAACACAGCTATGATATATCGAAATGGCAGGTTGCTCCTCTTTACGGTGTTGCCTGGAGAGCGATGCGATTGAGCCATTGAGCGATGGGCAGGGTTAACTTGACTTTTTCTCCTGCCTTGGGGGGGGGATGTGGATTCCTTTAAGAATGTGGATTTTTGGGTCATCTTTGGCGCCCCCTAGAACGTAAACCGTGGGGTGCAGCGTCATGATTTTTACAACTTTGAATGGCCATGGGGTGTAGATTGGCCTGAGCAAATTTGGTGTCAGTGGGACGAAAGCCTTAGGAGGAGTTAGCCACATTCCAATGTGTGCGAATCGGCAAAAAATGCAAAATAGCCCTTTAACCGTACATTTGACAGATACGCGCGCATTGACTTTTTTGTAGATCTTATTGAGATACATATGTGTGTCAATTTTTGTGTCAATATGATAAAGCGTACAGGCGTGACAGTCAATAGTGTGAATTTCCACCTTAGGGGACAAGAAAAAATTGACTTTTTTCTCCTGCCATGGGGGGGCGCTCTTTTGGGGAGTAAAAATTCCTTCACAAATGTGTTGATGGCTGGACATTGCATCATCCTAGAAAACTTGGAGGCCGGTGAGGACAAAAATAAAAAGTTATAAGACTTTTAAATATGTGGATTTTAGGGTTATCTTTGGCGCCCCCTAGAACCTAAACCGTGGGGTGCAGCGTCATGATTTGAATAACTTTTAATGGCCATGGGGTGTAGATTGGCCTGAGCAAATGTGGTGCCGGTGGAACGAAAGCCTTCGGAGGAGTTAGCGAAATTCCAATGTGTGCGGATCTGCAAAAAATGCGAAATAACCCTTTAACCGTACATTTGACAGATACGGCCGCACTGACTTTTTTGTAGATCTTATTGAGATACATGTGTGTGTCAATTTTTGTGTCATTTTGACAAAGCGTACACGCGTGACAGTCAATAGTGTGAATTTTCACCTTAGGGGGCGCTATGGAGCCATTTTGCATTTTCTTGTTTGGGCGACTTCGGAATATCAAATTTTTCACCAGGCCCGGTCGTCCTGCCAAATTTCCTGAGTTTTCGCCAGTGGGAAGTGGGCCATTTTCCAGTTCAAAGGGGAGGAAAAATAATAACTAGGGCCCCGGTGGGGCACTGGCGGGCCCGAGCCGTGTCGCGCCGCCCCCAGCGCGACCGCCTCCCCCACCCAATCGCGTCACACTCAAGGTCCAAAGATGGTGTGCGCACTTGTCTGTGGTCATTTACCATTATAATGAATGGGAGGCGCAGTTTCTACCAAAACGCTCGCTGCAGAAAAACTCCATGTCCTATTTGAAAAAAGTCTGGACCATGAGTGAGGGCACAAACACAGCTAAGATATATCCAAATGGCAAGTTGCTCCTCCTTTCGCTTTTGCAGAGAGAGCGATGCGTTTGAGCCATTGAACGATGAACAGGAAAAACTTGACTTTATTCTCCTGCCATGGGGGGGCGCTCTTTTAACGAGAAAAAACTCCTTCACAAATGTGTTGATGGCTGGACATTGCATCATCCTAGAAAACATGGAGGCCAGTGAGGACAAAAATAAAATGTTATAACACTTTTAAGAATATGGATATTTGGGTCATCTTTGGCGCCCCCTAGAACTTAAACCGTGGGGTGCAGCGTCATGATTTTTACAACTTTGAATGGCCATGGGGTGTAGATTGGCCTGAGCAAATTTGGTGCCGGTGGAGCGAAAGCCTTCGGAGGAGTTAGCTACATTCCAATGTGTGCGAATCGGCAAAAAATTCGAAATAGCCCTTTAACCGTACATTTGACAGATACGCCTGCATTTACTTTTTCGTAGATCTTATTGAGATACACGTGTGTGTTGAATTTTGTGTCATTTTGACAAAGCGTACAGGCATGACACTCAACAATGTGTATTTTCACCTTAGGGGACAAGAAAAAATGGACTTTTTTCTCCTGCCATGGGGGGGCGCTCTTTTGGGGAGTAAACATTCCTTCACAAATGTGTTGATGGCTGGACATTGCATCATCCTAGAAAACTTGGAGGCCAGTGAGGACAAAAATAAAAAGTTATAAGACTTTTAAAAATGTGGATATTTGGGTCCTCTTTGGCGCCCCCTAGAACATAGACCGTGGGGTGCAGCGTCATGATTTTTACAACTTTGAATGGCCATGGAGTGTAGATTGGCCTGAGCAAATTTGGTGTCAGTGGGACGAAAGCCTTAGGAGGAGTTAGCCACATTCCAATGTGTGCGAAACGGCAAAAAATGTGAAATAGCCCTTTAACCGTACATTTTACTGATACGCGCGCATTGACTCTTTCGTAGATCTTATTGAGATACACGTGATTGTCAAATTTTGTGTCAATATGACGAAGCGTACAGGCGTGACATTCAACAATGTGTATTTTCGCCTTAGGGGACTAGAAAAAATGGACTTTTTTCTCCTGCCATGGGGGGGCGCTCTTTTGGCGAGTAAAAATTCCTTCACAAATGTGTTGATGGCTGGACATTGCATCATCCTAGAAAACTTGGAGGGCAGTGAGGACAAAAATAAAAAGTTATAAGACTTTTAAGAATGTGGATTTTGGGTTATCTTTGGCGCCCCCTAGAACGTAAACCGTGGGGTGCAGCGTCATGATTTGTACAACTTTTAATGGCCATGGGGGGTAGATTGGCCTGCGCAAATGTGGTGCTGGTCGAACGAAAGCCTTCGGAGGAGTTAGCGAAATTCCAATGTGTGCAGATCTGCAAAAAATGCAAAATAACCCATTAACCGTACATTTGACAGATACGCCCGCACTGACTTTTTTGTAGATCTTATTGAGATACATGTGTGTGTCAATTTTTGTGTCAATATGACAAAGCGTACAGCCGTCATGTGAATTTTCACCTTAGGGGGCGCTATGGAGCCATTTTGCATTTTATTGTTTGGGCGACTTCAGAATATCGAATTTTTCACCAGGCCCGGTCGTCCTGCCAAATTTCATGAGTTTTCGCCAGTGGGAAGTGGGCCATTTTCCAGTTTAAAGCGGAGGAAAAATAATAACGAAAGAAGGAAACATGCAGGAACAAGAGGGCTCTCGCAGCTGCTTAGCAGCTACGCTCGGGCCCTAAAGAAAGAAACAAAGAAAAACCACTTGGGGAATAATAGGGCTCTACGCCCGGCTGCTCTGCAGTTGGCTCGGGCCCTAAAGAAACAAAGAAAAACCACTTGAGGAACAACAGGGCCTACGCCCGGCTGCTCTGCAGCTGGCTCGGGCCCTAAAAAGAAGAATCCATCAGGAACAAGAGGGCTCTCGCAGCTGCTTAGCAGCTATGCTCGGGCCCTAAAGAAAGAAAGAACTAGGGCCCCGTTGGGGCACTGGCGGGCCCGAGCCATGTCGCACCGCCCCCAGCGCGACCGCCTCCCCCTCCTGATCGCGTCACACTCAAGGTCCAAAGATGGTGTGTGCACTTGTCTGTGGTCATTTACCGTTATAATGAATGGGAGGCGCAGTTTCTACCAAAATGCTCGCTGCAGAAAAATTCCATGTCCTATTTGAAAAAAGTCTGGACCATGAGTGAGGGCAGAAACACAGCTAGTATATATCCAAATGGCAAGTTGCTCCTCCTTTCGGTTTTGCCGAGAGAGCGATGTTTGAGCCATTGAGCAATGGGCAGGAAAAACTTGACTTTTTCGCCTGCCATGGGGGGGCGCTCTTTTGGGGAGAAAAAATTCCTTCACAAATGTGTTGATGGCTGGACATTGCATCATCCTAGAAAACTTGGAGGCCAGTGAGGACAAAAATAAAAAGTTATAAGACTTTTAAATATGTGGATTTTAGGGTTATTTTTGGCGCCCCCTAGAACCTAAACCGTGGGGTGAAGCGTCATGATTTGTACAACTTTTAATGGCCATGGGGTGTAGATTGGCCTGAGCAAATGTGGTGCCGGTGGAACGAAAGCCTTAGGAGGAGTTAGCGAAATTCCAATGTGTGCGGATCGGCAAAAAATGCGAAATAGCCCTTTAACCGTACATTTGACAGATACGCCCGCCCTGACTTTTTTGTAGATCTTATTGAGATACATGTGTGTGTCAATTTTTGTGTCAATATGACAAAGCGTACAGGCGTGACACTCGATAGTGTGAATTTTCACCTTAGGGGGCGCTATGGAGCCATTTTGCATATTATTTTTTCGGCGACTTCAGAATATCGAATTTTTCACCAGGCCCGGTCGTCCTGCCAAATTTCATGAGTTTTCGCCAGTGGGAAGTGGGCCATTTTACCCTTCAAAGGGGAGGAAAAATAAGAAGAAAGAAAGAAAGAAGAAAGAAGAACCCATACAGGAATAATAGGACTCTACGCCCGGCTGCTCTGCAGCTGGCTCGGGCCCTAACAAGTCCAGCAACAGCACAGTTTCGTCCGGTGTGGCTGCTGCGATCACGTCCACCTCCATCATGGTTCCCTTTGGTTTAGTCTTCATAGTCTTTGCTGTGCATTTCTACCGCTCACTGGTCAGCCACAAGACGGACAGACAGTTTCAGGAGCTGGAGGAGCTTTCTAATCTCACCAGGCTACAGAATGAGCTGGACAACAGGGGCGAATCTTCTATCCTGCAGTCTCCTAGCTCAAATTTCCCTTAGACAACAAGTATGTTGGACTCATGGTGGAACTCTGATTTCCTGAGATTTCTCTCAAGTTAGAAGCGGCATTTTGGCTTCTGTTTTTACAGATGTATCACCTTTTTGTTGTGAAATTGTTCTTTTATGTAAAGAGTTGTATTTTTAGAACACGTTTGATAAACTGTGAACTCACAAATTTGCCATTACGCATGTAACTTAAATTTGAAGTCTTAACTGTGACAGCTGTTTGATTTCTCACTTAATTTATAGCACTCACAAAAAAAAAACATCTGAACAATAACTTGAATCCTGTCTGTTGCCTGCTATTTATTAACCTGTTTGTCTACTATAGTTTTTCTGTTGACACATAAATTACCTGGCTATGCAAACAGAAAGTATTTAACCTCTTTTTGTTGACTATATACCTGGTTTATTGTAAAGTTCACTTCATGAATGTAAGGACTGCCATTTGTGTAGACTGATTGCCAAAACTCCAGTATTATTAAAGGATACATGCTGACATCTGTAGCACAAGCTTTGTTCCAAGAATGAACACTTTTCATTTTGTAAAGCATCCTGAAATATGTAAATATATTCTCTATTTGTGCTATATATTTTTAATTTTTGACACAGGTTGGGCAAATCACACCTGGAATATTTAGTAAATGTGAAATTTTTTGTCTCATGAGCACATGAGACTGCTTGTACTTGTTAATAATCTACACCAGTGCTCTCGTGCTTTATTCTGTAAAGCCTTGGTGCCCCCTTTGTTTTTCAAGCACTAAGTTAGCATGTCGTTTTTATCAGTCACTCTTGACACATGAAGTGCACTTAAGTAACAGTGATATTTCTTCAAGATTACCGTTACATAGTAGGATGTTTTGTTCTCACATATTTAGAGAGACGAGTCAGTCTGGGTTAGTAGCCTGTGCTGGAGGTGCATGTAGACTGTATGTAGATGATGTCCAGGAGTGGTTTTCAGTCAAAGTAATGGGAAGTTGTGGGGCAGATATGGCATTATAACTATTTAAAAAAACAGGGTTAAATCTCTTGGATTTCATAATGAAACAAAAAGAGTAACCATTACTGGTTTGTGTAAAAAGTCATCCCTGAATGGCACTCACTGTGAAGGGTTTTTCTATACCATCCTGTAAATTACACCTACTGACCCCTACCAAGCAGTTACAGCATTTTAATTATAGAAAATTTCTGACCTTTTGCGAATGAACTCGTTTGTTTTGGTTTAGGCATCACTATAAATTTTGTTCTGTTGAAATAGACATACTTGAAATTGAATCACAGGAACTTAAAACTTAGCTGCATGATCCATTTATACTGGCGTGTAACATGATGAGCTTTTGTACCCTTGCTCTGTTTGTAATGTAACAAAGCAGTGTCATTTTCATCAGGTTTTTCCTTATAAACATAATCTAATATTCAAGAAGCTTCACTAAGAGCTTTGGCAAACTATTCAATGATAATGAAATTTAGTGTAAACATTTTATTGTCATGCAAGGTATTGTATTTAACCATCTTTTTGGCAGTAAACTAAATCAGTGTGTTATTTCACTTATCTTTGTTTTTCAGTCCATTTCAAGTATTTCTCTGATTTTTTTTTCACTAATAACAAACAAGTGATTTAGCTGAAAATATTCAAATATGAACACACAAAATGAAATTATGCCAATTTTATTATTTGGCAGTAAATGTACGGCAGAGTGGAAACTTGCTATCGGTCTTCCTCTTGTCCCTCTTCAACTCTGGTAAGGTAGGCTGACTGGGCTTCCCTTAGAACCAATTGCATGTCGACCAGTTGAACCTTGAAAAACAAAGAAAAGCTTCATTTCTTCACAGTTACGCCAAGAGAAAGAGCTTTATTACAAATGTTTATTTGATTTGTCACACAAGGGCTGAATTGTAAACGGATCTGTGACTGTGTCATAATGAAAATGTTGTACCTGTGGGATTGGGTATCTTGTCGATGCAGGTGCGTCATCTCTTCCAAAATCAGACAGAGTTCCACATTTTGCAACCCCATCCACCCAAAAACCTTCATAAAGTTGACCTTTGTCAGAATGATAGAATTTCCCGTTTCCATTTTTCAAGCCATTTTTCCAGGTGCCTTCATACCAGTTTCCATTCACTCAAGAAAGGAGAAAAGTCAAATGTTAGATCTACAAACATTGTCACACTCAATTTCTAATCCATTTTAACTGAAAATGTATGATAGCAAAGTCTGCTTACAAAATTGAATGATGCCTTTTCCATGATTCTTATCCTTCATCCACTCTCCCTCATAGATGTCTCCATTCTCATAGAACATTCTTCCCCAGCCACTCCGTTCGTCCTCACTCCACTCCCCCTCATAAACTGATGAGTGACTGAAGAAGTATGTCCCATACCCCTAGAGAGAAAGGTAATGATTAGCGATATATGACACAGGCAATGTAAGCTCAGACAACAGGCATTATTGATGTTACAGTGTATATAAATAATAGTATTTCAATACATGCTTCTTTCCATTCTTCCATTCCCCACAGTACTTTCTCAAGTACTCCTTCCTTTGAGGGAGAAGCACACTGTAGGTACCATATCCATCACGTTTTCCGAATTTCCACTCTCCATCATAAATCATTCCAGACTCCTTCCAAACCTGAGTTCCCTTTCCTAAAAGACACATTAAAAGTGTAAATGTCATCTATTACATAGCAAGTACTTCACATGTTATAACTAGGTGACCAAAGGAGTTGTGGTGGAAGAAGCCGCTCACCATGCTTCTGGTTGTCTTTCCACTCTCCTGTATATTCATTTCCATTCACAAAGAACACAGTGTGCCGTAGTCCACATTTCCGTGACTTGATATCCAACAATGATGATCGTGTCTGGTTTTTTGCAGCTGTTTTAAGATATGGCATGGCTGAGTGGAGATGAAAAACCCTAAAACATAAATGTCTGGTTATACTCATAAATCAGCAAAGCTGGTCCAGTTTTTCTTTTGACTGAACTATAACATAAAAAGGGAGAAAGAATGTTAAGAGGATGAGTTCACAATGCTGACGGTTATCTAATGATTTTTTTTTGCATCAAAATCAGACTTTGAATTTCAAAGCACGCATTATTTTTTTCCACAATGATGATAAATTCGGTTTAAAAAAAAACAGTCTCTCAAATTATTCGTGTAGTAAAAATTCGACCTAAAATAAAACTGTGTAAAAAAAAAATTCAACATAAAAAATTT